AGATGTAAAATAATTTCTCAAATCAGAGCAAATATATAAGACAGAAAACTATAAGTAGAAAGTATAAGTAGAAAATATAAGTAGAACAAATATATAAATTGGTCCGTTTTACCCCATTTAAATTGGTCCATTTTACCCCACATGACAACATTAATATTATCTTATTTTTATTTACCTGTATCAAAATTATTTTTTAAATGTAACTGATGAAATATTACTTCTCAATAACCAGAAATATGGAACTTGTAGAAAAATTTAAAAATATTAAGTTTTGCAATCTTAGTCACTTAAAATGTAATACTAAGAAATTAGATCACGAGATCTATTTGCAAGAATTTGACGTTTCTTTATAAATAACTTACGATAGTCTTATGATATAATGACGTAATTTTTAAACAGTTAAAAAGCATCAAAAAGGAAATTAATTTTATGTTTATCCAGCAGATAGAGGTACTTACTAATAAGATCTAGCAAATGGACCATTTTACCCCGCGGTCCGTCTTACCCCACCTTCCCCTATACTACGAAATATGATATCATAAACGTGAATATATCACCTGCGCAAAATTAGTCGCTATTTATAGTATATTCTTAGTTTAACGCATATGAAAATTTGTAATAATATTCTCGATTTATAATCAAAAATAATTGAAGCTCTAGAGTCATTGATGTCATGGAGATTGATAATTGCATTTGTTGTAAATTTATTTGGTATGCACGTTTTTTGCAAATGAGAATTTTAAAAATAGAAAAAATAAGATAACTTTTTATTACAAAATAAATTTATTACATAATTTCACATTATATCTCATTTATATCTACTTTTATTTTAATATTATTATAAACCAAGTTTAGCAGTAAATCGAAACAGTGATTCAGCAATATAATTAAAATTTACTATCCATCATGTCTGACTTGATAACGTAGCCGCTATTTAAATTTATTTTATTAGCCTTTCTGTTAATTAGCAAACAGTATTACATTTCTATTAGCTGCAAAATTAATTAGAGAGACGGATAAATGTAATACAAATATAATTTAATTATTTCTAAATCAAGATTAATTTGAATAATGTGAAGAAATCATCATTTCATTTAAAACACATATAACACATATAAAGGATTATTTCTTTTATTTGTTATTGCACAGGTTGATATATCTCTACTTCTTGCGGCAATAATACATATTAACAAAAATCTATAAAACTTACAAAATCTACGAATATCTACAAAAATTTTTTTTACAAACACTTAAAAGTTGTGTTGATCTCAAGTATATCATAATTTTATTATAATAATACTCTGCGGTTTATCGTTTTACTCAAAATATATATAATAAAATGTAATGCTGATTATAACGCATTACAGTAATAAGCTGAAAGACATCCGCATTGATCGACAAAGACTATGGGTTCTTCGAAGTAATCGTGATTTAACCGTTAATTCGGACACTTAGATCATCAGCAAAAGTCAAGTGTCAAGTTGCTAGAAATAAGACTACCATATCGAAAATAGTGATGTTGGTCATGTCACACAGTTGAAATGTGACCAGAGTAAAGATTTTCAATAGAAATCAAGATTAAGATGAATTGATTGCGCGCGAACAAATGTTAACAAATACAGATATTTATTTTTAAATATTAACTAATGATTATTATAAGAGAAAAAGAGAGAGAGGGAGAAAGAGATTTTATAACAATATTTTTATATAATATTCAAAAAATAAATTTTATACATAATTTAAATTAATGTTTTTAAAATTCTGCTTACAAAGTATTTTAAATAACTGCATAATAATTTATATAACGTGGTTAATTAATTATATGTACATGTATATGTACATGTATAAACTATAAAATCCAGATTAAACAATTCTCAGAATAAATTTGCAGTTGAAATCACAAAAGATGATAAGTTATTTCACTGCAACATAGAAACATATGTATGCTTAATCTCTTGCGCTATGTATCTTATATAACATGTATTCTCATATATATTTATATATAAAATTACCTGGACAAGAAGCAAAACAGTTTGTTTTCTTCTGTATTTCCGTATTAAGCATCGATAAAATGCGGAAATTTATATCGCTTATATTTAATCCACCATATGCATCGTGAAGTTGATATTTATTTGATAATATCACTAGTTTTCCTCCTCTATTTTTCATTGCACTTGAAAATTCCAATGTTTCAAAATCTTGCCCAACAACTTCCTGAAAATTGATATTATATTTGTAGTAATAAAAATTGCTTAGAATAATTCATACGTTTTGAATAATTCAATATTGAGCGGCATGCAGAGAATAATTATGTGCTCACCATGTTCTGAGAGTTAATTTTCTTAGTAGTATCCGCGCACATGACAGAAGACTTTTTAACATCAGTGAAAAATATTACACAATTCGCAGATGCTAATGCTGATGTCTGGTCTGGTATCTCAAATGCTAGTTGAGTTAGCGCTTTTGTTTCACTTTGCGAACATCCCGCTATCTTTGATATTTCCATTTTGTATATCTTATTTCCCGCAAACGAAGCGTAGTATAAGTCTAAAATATAACAATGGCAAAGAATAATGCCGAAGAACACAAGCAAGATGCTAAGAATTATCTATTTATTGCTAAGTCTATATAAATGTGATGACGATAAAAGAAATGGATAGAAATAATATGATGCAAATAAAATCACATAAAAAATAACACTCAATATGCGATGTAATAAACCTATATAAAGACTAAAATAGTTATTTTCTTAAAAGTGTACCTTTGTTTTGAACAACTGCCGTGCTGGTGATACCGTCTTCCAGAGGATAAAATTGATTCCCCACATAATAACCGATACCAGTTGGTTTCATACTATCAGAATCGATTCTGCAGAATTTCGAAGTAGACGCGTTATATATCGCCATACCAAACCCGTCAGTGTCAGCCATAAACACCTGAGACATAATTTAATTGATGTAAGTTCATAATTGTCACTTGTCAATTTAAATTGCAAGGTATAACATAATTAAATATAATTAAAAAAACGAATTAATGTGATTACAATAAAAATATGATATTTAGAAAATTATACTAACCACCGCGTTATCCTTTATATTTTCACAATGCGGCGCAAAAGCAGTAACTGTTGTTAAAAATCCTGTGCCATTTTTGTTATTAGCGATATTGAGCGGAATAGTAACACTTTTAACTAGTTTATCAGTTGATAAGTCAAAGATAAATAGTCGCGGAGGACAAATTTGTTCATAATTATATTTGCCGCTATCCAAAATAAAAAGATGATTGCATTGAATCTGAGAACAAAATAACAATTAAATTTTAGATATTATTATTAGTATGAATATATATGATAATTAATGCATGTAGATAGGATCAGCTAGCTTTGTCGAGACAAGGAATGAATTTAATGCTTGCGGTATTCTCCTGCCACTGACGTCAAAACGCGAGAAATTTGCATATGATTGACTCAGTACCAACTGATCAAAAAGCAAATTTATATATATTTTTTTATATTTTGCTTACATAATAATAAAATTTTTAGCAAGAAAATGCCGCCAGTACAGTATTTTTTTCTTGATAAAGCTGATCCTGTCTACGTACATTAATAACGACTTTAAAGTGATGCTAACAACTATTAATTTTTTAATCTCGAATACGTCAAAACGCATTATTGTCAATTATCAGTAATAAATATGACAAATATATGTGTGCGTGTGTGTAAATATAACAAATGTATGTGTGTACGCGAATGTTACGAATAATGGACACTAGTTTATGATATCACCTTCTTCGTAGGAAATATAAAATAATTTTTATGTTTGTAGTAATAAAATATACATTTAAAAAATACTATTTTGTATGTGTACAATAGTGTGTTTCGATAAACGCGCGTACTAAGCGTCTTTTTTTACCTTTTTTATTATTATAGATAATTATATGAGTATGTTGACCAATGTATTGTTGGCCGTTTAAATGTAATGTATATAATGTATATAATATGTATGTGAGATGTAATTATCAAATTTAGAAAATTTTAATGTTTACATTTATTCCATAAACAACTCCTGGAATGCCGTCGCAGCCGTCCATTGGAAGCGTCCTGTACCAGGACCAATCTGGATATGGACGCAAAAGAGGACCTCCTTCTCCTTCTTGATCAGTTACTGTCAGTATGCTTACCGGTGTACCCTCTTCTCTTAATGCCGTGAGGAATATTCTACCATCTACGAGAATTTTATAAATAATACTTAATATAAAATTTATTTATTGCAAACACATTGCAAATTTATTGCAACAATAATATTATTTGTTTAATAATGTGTTGAAAAATGTGTAATAAATCTAGATAGCCAAATATGAGTGTTGTTAGCAGATTGATAATAAATTTGATTAAATTTGCTGTCAATTTGCCAACATTGCTAATATTTCACTTACTGGAAATATAGATCATGGTAACGTTTAATAGCACACTAATACACTTTTGCATTTACTGATATTTCTATTTCTATATAAAATTACAAATCTTTGAACAATTTGAGCCTACCTGGTGCCGCATCAACGTCGAAGAGAAACATCAAGCTAGCGTTATACGCGCCGGAATCTATCGCTCGCTGCTTTTGCTGCGGACTTTCCCAAAGAAGATCGGCGTATTTCCATTTGTGTTCGAGGACCAATTTACCAAAACTCATAATTATTATCGACAGATTTAATACAATGAGTAGAAAATATCGCATTTTGAACAGCAAATAGCGAATAAATATAAATATATTACATATAATAAAATATCGTAACTAAAGATTACGCCGTAAATACGTATTTCGCAAACGCTAATGCGTTAATGATACTACTTGCATACTTAACCAGTATTTATAATATATTTTCAGCTCGATACATATTGAAATCCAGTGAAATGTTCTCATTATGTAATCAATAATTGTAGTCTTGTCACATTATCCCAGATAATTGATAATTGAGAATCGTTGAACTCAGAATTATTGATAATGGTGCATGCTATAGGTGTACGTGATATACATATTATCTTGTCAACAATACTTTGAGGAAAGGAAATAATAAGATTACTATTTATTACATAATAACTTTATTAACTCTCACTTCTTCATATTTTATTTTACACTTGTAAATTAAATCGTGTACTGAATTGACAAGTAGAAAATAGTTCATAGACAAGATTTACAAAAAATATTGTTTACATATAGTTGTCTATTACGCTATCACTAATTTATATCTTGCAGGAAGCAAAACAATTTGTCTTCTTCTGTATGTCTGTATTGTTTGTTGAAAGAAGACGGAAGTTTATTTCGTTCGTATTTAGGGTAGAATGTAGATGATGTTGATATCTATTTGATAAGATTACTAGTTCACCTCCTCTATTTTTCAATCCACTTGGAAATTGTAGTGTTTCAAAATCTTGCTCAACAATTTCCTGAAAATTGATATTGTATATTGATATTATATCCGGTGATAAAAATCGCTTGTAGAGTTCACACACTTTGAATAATTCGTTACTGAACGGCGTGCGAAGTATAATTATGTTCTCACCATGTTCTGGGAATTAATTTCCTTAGTAGTGTCCGCGCACATAATAGACGTTTGCTCAATATCGCTGAAAAATATTGCACAATCCGCAGATGCTATTGGTCCTGTTTGACCTGGTAACGTAGCTGCTAGTTTATTTAGTGCATTTGCGTCATTTAGCGAACATCCTTTTATTTTCGAAATTTCCGTCTTATATATTTTGCTTCCCGCAAAAGCAGTGTAGTATAAATCTGAAAAACAAGAATAATCAAAATGCAAAGGATTAATTATGTGGGATTTTTTAATGTCTTGTGCATTTTTATAAATCTGCATAAATAATAATGATAAAGAAATTAATAGAAGTGATATAATGCAATACAAATTTGAAGTAAATCTTGAAATACTTAACGGTTGAATTAATCAATAATCATTGTTAAAACCTTGCCTTTATTTTGAACAACTGCCATGCCGAAAATACCATTTTCGAGGGGAGTAAACTGGTTTGCTAAAGTGAAACCGGTATTGGACGGTTTTTTTGATTCTGATTCGTATCTGCAAAATTTTGAAGTAGATGCATCATACACCACTAAACCGAAACCGTCGGTGTCACTCATGAATACCTGAAACCACAATTTAATTAATATAAATGTACAATATTATATCGATATTAAATCGCAGCACGTGTCAATTAAATAATATTTAGCACATATCAAAAAGCATGCATTACTTTGATTAAAAGAAAACATAATGTAATTTCTAAAATAATATACCACTGCATTATCTTTTATGTTTTTACAATGCGGCGCAAAAACAACAGGCGACGACAAAAACCCAATGCCCTTTTTGTCAAAAGCGATATCATACGGGATGATAACACGTTTAACAAGTTTATCATTTAATAAGTTAAAAATCAGCAGTTCCGGGGGACAAAGTTGCTCTTCCCCAAGTTTACCACTGGCCACAATAAAGAGATGATCGCATTGAATCTGAGACGAAAGTAAAGATTGCATTTCAGAATTTGCGCAGATGATTATGTCAGAGTAAATAGATTACGCAATATATTATGTACTGATCGTTAAAACGTAAAAAAATATAATTGCAAAATGTAATTGTTAAAAAATAACAAACTTGAACGTTTGGGGTTTTAGAATATTTCATTATTTACATCTACTCGATAAACACCACCCGTAATGCCTTTGCAATCGTCCTTGTACCAAGACCAATCTGGATATGGACGCAAAAGTGCACCTCCCTCTCCCTCTTGATCAGTTATAGTCATCACACTTACAGGTGCACCTTTCTCTCTTATTGCGGTAACGAATAATCTATCATCTATGAAAATTTTCTTTGTAATAAATTTTTAGCAGTAAGGTTTCACGACCTATGCGCTCTGCTGGTGAATTTGTTTATTTGTTAGTGAAAAGCGTGACGTTATAATTTCTTTTTGTATTACAGTTGTATTATGTACAAACTTGATTCCGAGAGGAAAGAATGAAGGAAGCTGTGAGAACATTAGAGCAAGTCCCGTTCTTGCCCCAAACGTGCTTAAATCGCGAGCGGATTGTAAAATGTAAATTACATATATAATAACTTTTCATACAAAAGTAAGATGCTTCTGCGTATAAAGGTATTTCTATATCAAAGCACTGTTAAATCCTTATATAATGTCAGCTTACCGGGTCCCACATCGACATCGAATAAGTACATCAAGCTGGCGTTATATTTGCCGGAATCTATTGCTTCTTGCTTCTGCTCCGAACTTTCCCAAAGTAAATCAGCATATTTCCATTTGTACTCAAGAAGTAACTCGTTAAAACTTTTATCTGTGATCGACAATATTATCGCAGTGAAAAAAAGGTACTTCATTTTCAGCGAACAAATAACTAAACAGTATACCACAAAATACGATATCATAAACGTGAATGTATCGCCTGCGCAAAATAAGTCGGTATTTATATTCTTAGTTTAACACATATGAAAATTCATAATAATATTCTCATTTTATAATCAATAAATAATTGAAGCTCCAGAGTCATTGATGTCATGGACATTGATAATAGCATTTGTTGCAAATTTATTTGATATGCACGTTTTTTGCAAATGAGACTTTTAGAAATAGAAGAAATAAGATAACTATTTATTACAAAATAAATTTATTACATAATTGCATATTATATCTTATTTATATCTATTTTTATTTTAATATTATTATAAACCAAGTTTAGCAGTAAAACGAAACAGTGATTCAGCATTACAAATAAAATTTATTGTCCATCGTGTCTGACTTGATAGCGTCGCCGCCATTTGAATTTTTTTTATTAGCCTTTCTGTTAATTAGCAAACAGTATTATATTTCTATTAGCTGCAAAATTAATTAGAGAGACTGATAAATATAATACAAATATAATTTAATTATTTCTAAATCAAGATTAATCTGGATAATGCGAAGAAAATCATCATTTCTTTTATTTGTTATTGTACAGGTTGATATATCTCTACTTCTTGCGGCAGTAATAAATATTTACAAAAATTTATAAAACCTACAAAATCTATGAATATCTAAATTTTTTTTAGATATTCGTAGATTAACACTATTAAAAGTTGTGTTGATCTCGAGTACGTGATAATTTTATTATAATAATACTGCGGTTTTTCGTTTCATTCAAAATTGTATTTATAATAAAATGTAATGCTGATTTTAACGCATTATAGTAATAAGCTGAAAGGTATATTCACATTGATCGACAAGAGACTATGGGTTCTTCGAAGTAATCGTGATTTAGCCGCTAGCTCAGACACTTAGGTCATCGACATAAGTCAAGTGTCAAATTGCTAGAAATAAGACTATCATATCGAAGATATTGATGTCGGTCAAGCACACAGTTGACATGTGACCAGAGTAAAGATTTTCAATAGAAACCTAGATTAAGATGAATTGATTGCACGCGAACAAATCTTAACAAATGCAGATATTTATTTTTAAATATTAACTAATGATTATTATAAGAGAAAGGGAGAGAGAGATTCTATTTAATATTCAAAAAACAATTTTTTTATTTAATATTCAAAAAATAAATTTTATACATAATTTAAATCAATTTTTTTTAAATTATGCTTACAAAGTACTTTAGATAACTGCTTAATAATTTATATAAAGTGATTAATTAATTATATGTATATGTATATATGAACTATAAAATTTAAATTAAACATCTCCCAGATTAAATTTGCAGTTAAAATCACAAAAGATGATAAGTTATTTCACTGCAACATAGAAACATATGTATGCTTAATCTCTTGCGCTATGTATCTTATATAACATGTATTCTCATATATATTTATATATAAAATTACCTGGACAAGAAGCAAAACAGTTTGTTTTCTTCTGTATTTCCGTATTTGACATCGAGAGAATCCGGAAGTTTACTTCTCTTATATTTACTGTTTCATGAAAATGATTCAGATATCTATTAGATAAGATCACTAGTTTATCTTGTCTATTTTTCAAACCACTTGAAAATTGCAACATTTCAGAATCTTGTGCAATGCGTTTCTGAAAATTCATATTGTTTTTATAATAATAAAAATGGTACTATTGATCATTTGTCAACAGTTGTAAAAATGATTTATATATAATACCCAAACATTTGGAATAATTTTTTACTGAATAGCACGCAGAAAGAGAATAATTATATTCTCACCATATTTTGAAAGTTAATTTCTTTAGCAGTGTCCGCGCACATAATAGACGTTTTCTCAATATCGCTGAAGAATAGTGCACAATCCATTGATGCTATTGGTCCTGTTTGACCTGGTAATGTAGCTGCCAGTTTAGTTAACGCATTTGTCTCACTGGACAAACATTTAGATGTCTTTGGAGTTTCCATCTTGTGTATTTTGCTTCGCCCCATAGCAGAATAGTATATGTCTAAAAAAAAACAGTTCCAAAGAGGAACGAAAATGTTATTTATGAAATTATTTTAGAAAAGCTTTCTGTGTCGAATGCAATCTCATTACCATACTAAGTTAAATTTACATGAATGTTAATAATGATAAAAAAAAAGATATGATACAACATCAGTAAAATATCAATGAGATTTAAAATTCTTAACATATGATTGTTGAAACAATGACCTTCTTATTAAAGAAAGTACTTACCTTTATTCCGAACAACTGTAATACCGTCAATACCATCTGGTTCAGAAGAAAATTTATTTGTTATGAAACCGGGATTAGTCGGTTTCATAAAATCAGATTCGATTCTGCAGAATCCCGAAGTAGAAATGTTATATGTGATTAAAGCGTAGCCTTCCGTATCACCCATATATATCTGTGCCGCAATTTTATTTAATTAATACAATTTGATATTATAATAATTAATATAGATTTATAATCGTATACCGACTTAATTCGGTCAGGATATGACCTATTAATTACATAAAATGTAGCACAGACTGAAAAGTATATGCGATACCGTAATTTAAAAATAATGCAATATTTAAAAATGTAACTAACCATCGCGTCATTCATCACATTTTTACAATTTGGCGCATTAACTGATATTGATGCCAGAAGTCCAATGCTCTCTTTGTTATGAGCAATATCAAGCGGGACAGTAACACGTTTAACCAGTTTGTCATTTGCTAAATCGAAGATCAATAATTGCGGTGGACAAAGTTGGTTCTCCCCAATTCTACCGCCATCTACAATAAAGAGATGATTGCATTGAATCTGAAGGGAAAATAAAAATTAAACTTCAAGTATTGTCCTTATGAAAATAATTATACGAATATATATTTCGGATTGACAGTAAATTTGCTGAAAATGAAGAGTTTAACAAAAAACTGTTATCAATGTTTTCATTTTTTTAGGACAAGAAAGAAACATTTTATCGTCCTTAATTTTTAGTAAATAACTTTTAGTAAATAATTTTCAGTAACTTCTTAACAATATAAATCAAGGCATGAGTAGTTTTTATGAGAATTAGTGCAACCATTCTGTATGTAGGTTCCATCTGTAATTATTAGAATATGCGATTATCTCAGTTTTCTCAACTTTTGATAAGGATTGTGTTTGTTATAAATTCCTCATTTGTTTACATATGACCCATTGTCATTGTCACATTGTTAACACTTTGCTTACTGATATTTATTTATTGCAAAAAATATGCGATATATACTTTTAAGTAATAAAAGTAAATATACTAGATTGTACGTAATTAGTATTAATAAGTAATTTCGTATATTTCAACGGTATTGTTTTTTAAACAGTACATTTTTGCACAATGTAAAAAAATCGTGATATGGGCGATACTTACGACAACGACAAACAATTATTTAATTTATTTGTTAATTAAACTGCGCTTTACCTGACAAAAAAATAGACAGATTTATTTCAAAAATCCGAAATAACTTATTACACAATTCACTATACGTCACTTTGGAAAATATTTTAATACTCACATCCATCTGGTAAACACCACCTGTAATACCTTTGCAATCGTCCTTGTACCAAGACCAGTCTGGATACGGACGCAGAAGTGGACCACCTTCTCCTGTTTTATTTGTTACAATCATTACGCTTACCGGTATACCCTTGTTTCTCACTGCAGTAACGAATATTCTACCATCTATAGAAATTTTATTTGTAAGTTAAGATGTATTTGTTGTAAGGCATTAGCACAACTTTGTCACAACAAGAATGTTATTGCACACGAAATATATGTAATAGAGAGGTTCTAGTGACATATCATGCAATAGTAAATTGTCGTGATTAAAAAATATTCATATTTCTATATAAAATTACTGTGCAATTTTTAAACAATGCGAGTCTACCTTGTGCCATTTCTACGTCGAACAAAAACATCAAGCTAGCGTTATACGCGCCGGAATCTATCGCTTGTTGCTTCTGCTGCGTACTTTCCCAAACAAGATCAACATATTTCCATTTGTGTTCGAGTACCAATTTACTCAAACTCAAAGTTGTCATCGATAGAATTGATACAAAAAGAAGAAGACACTTCATTTTTACCTTTACGGATAGTTAACAGTATTATGTACAGTAAAATAATGTAACGAAATAAATTTACATCAATAGAACTGTATCGTGTAAACGCGGATGCACTTATGACACCGGTTGCACAAAACTACATTATATTTATAATAGATTTTCAGCCAATTACATATGAAAATTTAAAAAATATCCTTGTTATACAACCGACAAGCTATAACAACCCCATTAAGAGTCATTGAACTCTGGGTTATTGATAATGACATGTACTGCAGGTGCATCTACATATTTTACCATTGAAGCTTTCAGAGAAACGAAAAGAATAAGATTACCATTCAGAGATTATATAACAAATTGTATTTCTTTTCTATTTTTTATTTTTATTTATTTTTATTTTAGAATTCTAAGACATATCGCACAATGATTCAACAGTACAAATAAAATTTATTACCGATTACATTCTGACTTGACAACGTAGCCGCCATTTAAATTTATTTTATTAGCCTTTCTGTTAATTATCAAACAGCTGTATTTCTACCAGCTGCAAAATTAATTAGAAAGATGGAAAAATGTAATACAAATATAATTTAATTATTTTAAAATTAAGATTAATCTGGATGATGCGCAGAAAATCACTATTTCTTTTATTTGTTACTGCACAAGTTAATATATGTACCTCTTATTACGGCAGTAATAAATATTCACAAAAAGCTATAAAATCTACAAAGTCTACGAATATCTACAAAAATTTTTTTATAAGCACTATTAAAAGTTGTGCTGATCTCGAATACATCATAATTTTATTGCAATAGTATTGCTGTCGTTTATAATTTCACTCAAAATATAATAAAATATAATGCTGATTATAACGCATTAAATACAAAATATTACATTAATAAGCTGAAAAGTATCTGCATTGATCGACAAAAGACTATGGGTTTTTCGAAGTAATCGTAATTTAATCGTTAATTCGGATACTTACGTTATTGGCAAAAGTCAAGTGTCAAGTTGCTAAAAATAAGATTGTCATATCGAAGATAGTGATGTCGGTCAAGCATACAATTGGAATGTGTGACAGTGATAAATTTCAATAAAAACCAGGGTTGCGATGGATCGATTGCGCGTGAATACATGTTAACAAATGCAGATATTTATTTTTAAATATGAACTATTAATTATTGTAAAAGAGAGAGAGAGAAGAATAAAGATAGAATTTTTATAACAATATTTTTATTTAATATTTAAAAAGTAAATTTTATACACAATTTAAATCAATGTTTTTAAAATTATGTTTACAAGATATTGCAGATAACTTCTTAATAATTTATATAAAGTAATTAATTGATTATAATTGATTATGTACGTATATAAACTACATAATCCCAAATTAAACATCTTCCATAATAAATTTGCAGTCAAATTAAAAAAATGATCCATAGGTTATTTCACTGTAACATAGAAAAACATGTATTTCGCGTCATGTATCTTATATAATATGTATTCTTATATATATTTAGATATAAAAATACCTGGACAAGAAGCAAAACATTTTGTTTCTTTTTGTATTTCCATATTTGACATCGAGAGAATCCGGAAGTTTACTTCTCTTATATTTAAAGTTTCATGAAGATGATGCTGATATTTATTAGATAAGATCATTAGTTTACCTCGTCTATTTTTCAAACCACTTGGAAATTGCAACATTTCAGAATCTTGCGCAATGCGTCCCTGAAAATTTATATTGTTTTTATAATGATAAAAATGGTACTATTGATCATTATCAACAGATTAAGAAATGACTTATATTATATATAGTGCTTAAACACTTAGAATAATTTGTTACTGAATAGCACGTAGAAAAAGAATAGTTATATTCTCACCATATTTTGGGAGTTAATTTCCTTAGCAGTGTCCGCGCACATAATAGACGTTTTCTCAATATCGCTAAAGAATAGTGCACAATCCATTGATGCTATTGGTCCTGTTTGACCCGGTAATGTAGCTGCGAGTTTAGTTAACGCATTTGTCTCACTGGACAAACATTTAGATGTCTTTGGAGTTTCCATCTTGTATATTTTGCTTCCAACCAAAGCAGCATAGTATATATCTAAAGAAGAACAATAAAATTCTTAACATATGAATGTTGAAACAATGACCTTCTCATTAAAAAAAAAGTACTTGCCTTTATTTTGAACAACTGTTATACCGAAAATACCATCCTGCATTGGGAAAAATTCGTTTGCTATGGTGAAACCGGGATTAGTCGGCTTCATAAAATCAGATTCGATTCTGCAGAATTTCGAAGTAGAGGTGTTATATGTGATTAAAGCGTAGCCTTCCGTATCACCCATATATATCTGTGCCGCAATTTTATTTAATTAATACAATTTGATATTATAATAATTAATATAAGTTTATAGTCGTATACCGACTTTATTCGGTCAGGATATGATAATATTACGTAATATGTAGCACAGACTGAAAAATATATGCTTAATTTAAAAATAACACGATGTAATATTGAAAAAAAGAACTAACCATCGCGTTATTCATCACATTTTTACAATTTGGCGCATTAACTGAAACTGATGCCAGAAGTCCAATGCCCTGTTTGTTATGAGCAATGTCAAGCGGGACAGTAACACGTTTAACCAGTTTATCAGTTGCTAAATCAAAGATCAATAATTGTGGTGGACAAAGTTGATTCTCCCCAATTCTGCCGCCGTCCACAATAAAAAGATGATTGCATTGAATCTAAAGTGAAAATAAATAATAAATAATATGGAAATAATTACATGAATATATACTTGGATTGCCAAATGTTAGCAACATTGGCAGATTGGCAGCAAATTTCATCAAATTGTTAACATATGACATTGTCATTGTCACATTGTTAACACTTCGCTCACTGTTATTCATTTATTGTAAAGTATGCGATATATACATGGTCTTATAAATAATAGCTATAAATATATTAGGCTCTGCAATTAGTGTCAAAGTTATATAGTAATTTCGTGTATTTTATCGATAATGTTTTTTTACGCAGCACATTTTTGCACAATGTGAAAAAATCGAGATACGGGTGATACTTGATTACAACTTCGACAAACAATTATGTAATGTAATTTGGGTTAATGAAACTGTGCTTTGCCCGACAAAAAAAAGATAGATTTATTTTAAAAATCCGAAATTACTGATTACACAATTCAGTATATGTCAATTTCGAGAATATATTAATACTTACATCCATCTGGTAAACACCACCTGTAATACCTTTGCAATCGTCCTTGTACCAAGACCAATCTGGATACGGACGCAGAAGTGGACCACCTTCTCCTGTTTTATTTGTTACAACCATCACGCTTACCGGTATACCCTTGTCTCTCACTGCAGTAACGAATATTCTACCATCTATAAAAATTTTATTTGTAAGTTAAGATGTATTTGTTGTAAGGCATTAGCACAACTTCGTCACAACAAGAATGTTATTGCACGCGAAATATATGTAATAGAGATGTTCCAGTGACGTATCATGCAACAGTAAATTGTCGCGATTGAAAAATATTCATATTTCTATATAAAATTTCTGTGCAATCTTTAAATAATGCGAGTCTACCTTGTGCCATGTCTACGTCGAACAAAAACAGCGAACTAGCGTTATATGCGCCGGAATCTATCGCTCGTTGCTTCTGCTGCGGACTTTCCCAAACAAGATCGACATATTTCCATTTGTGTTCGAGTACCAATTTACCCAAACTCAAAGTTGTCATCGATAGAATTGATGCAAAAAGAAATAGGCACCTCATTTTTACCTTTACGGATAGTCAAGACAGTATTATGTGTAATAAAATAATGCAACGAAATAAATTTACATCAATAGAACTGTATCGTGTAAACGCGGATGCACTTATGACACCGGTTGCACAAAACTACATTATATTTATAATAGATTTTTAGCCAATTACATATGAAAATTTAAAAAATATCCTTGTTATACAACCGACAAGCAATAACAACCCCATTAAGGGCCATTGAACTGGGTTATTGATAATGATATGTACTGCAGATGCATCTACATATTTTACCATTGAAGCTTTCAGAGAAACGAAAAGAATAAGATTACCATTCAGAGATTGTATAACAAATTTATTCCTTTTCTATTTTTATTTTGGAATACGTAAGACGTATATATCGCTCAGTGATTCAGCAGTACAGATAAAATTTTACATAAAGGTATTGTTTTATGTATATCGTTGTACATGTTGATGGTACATCGCATGATATTAAAATAAATTAGTATAAATTCAGTGTAATTTAAACAATATGTTTGAACAGTGTAGATATTTGAAATTTTTATTAACAAAATGACGATATAAAATTGCTTTCGTTTGAAAAATTATTAAATTATTTATTTAATAATAAACTGGTAAAAAATTGCTGAATTTACTTATTTTTATATCCACAAATTTTCAGATTAAAATCTGAATTAAGAGCAATTTTTATGGAGACCTTCAGATCCCGAATTTAACAACATAATATGTTTTTCGGAGCAATCTTTATCCTCCGTACTTTGACCATCACATTGCTATATAAGTACATATTTACGTGCTACATAATAAAGTGGAATAAGGTCGCAGGCTTAAGTGATAGAATGAGACGGGTGAATGACAGAAACATGATAGTTAATCGTAATGTTACGCAATTTATTGGCGCATAAGCGTTGTGAAAGAAAATGCAATTTATTTTTAATAAATTTTTAAAAGTAAATGTGCTACAAAATAAGACAGGTCACAATTTTTATTATAAAATAATATAAATATAAGAAACAATCCTTTACAATTGTGATAATATAATTTCTCATGAATCCGTACCGCATTTTGTGTTACATTCAAAACATGTTGCAACAATGTTATGGATTACTGCTATCATTGTTTTCATCTGTCATATCTCGGCAATGTTATATAATAAAAGCAAATGAAATTCATCAAGTATTATTGTGCGAAGCTGTGTATATCTATGTATATGTTATCGTAAGTCGAATTTGCGTCTTCGCTATGTTATGTCGTAATGGCGCCGATAATTTTGCATAGATTGACGATTATAAAAATTGACATTAGATAAAAAATTAAAGATAAAACAACACTATAATATCTAAATATCTATGGCGATTAAAAATTGACAACGTTATTATGTAATTTCAAAGAAAAGATTACAGTTAATTTTATTGTCTAATTCGTCTTCAATGTCGAAAGATTTTTTTCGTTCATTGAATCGTGATATATCTATTTATTTTTATTGTGTACTTAATCGATTTTAACATTAAATCAATAGTGAAAATGATACAGACAATGTATGATTCAATAAATGAAAAATTATCTATCGGTCTTATCAAATTAGATAATTCAGTTTTGTAGAATTAAATAATGTAATCGAATGCAATCTTTTCTTTGAGGAATAACATTGTTAATTTGCAACAGCCATAGATATTTTATTATAACTATAAATATTTTATCTGCTCTTCAGTCGATTTAATTTTACCGAACAACGAACTGTACAGCTCGTTTTTCGCACTGTCGGTCCATGTATCGTACACCGTAATGGGCGCCATAAATTAACTAATTTAGTGTGAACATTGTATCGCACCCTTCTACCCTTCGTCGCGCGAGTATCGATCTTTCTCTTCATCTTCGTACGCATATTCTGCAGCCGGATCATCTGTTTGCTTAGCTGTATTGGATCCGTCACGTCTGATGATTTATATTCTATCAAATCTTTCAATAGCTGATGATAGAAATCGTTGTCATCATAAATTTCCGGATCATACTCTTGAATCCTTCTGCCGTCATTGTCTTCCATTGTAGATTTACCGACAATGTTGTATTCGGAGCGCTTCAGCTGAGTCCTTTTCCGTAACTTGCTTATGTCGCTCATGGCAAATTCGATTTGTTTCAGCGTGCTCTGACCAGAGCTTTTATTCAGCGCGCCCGTGGCGATTCGCGTTTTGTCATTCCATTTTTTTATTACTGAATCTCTGTACTTTTTATACAAATCGTGATTTTCTTGCAAAACTTTTTCGCACTCGTTGTACTTCAGTCGCTTTCGCGGTTTCTTAGCCGTTTCTGCATCTTTATCTGTGAAAGTTTCTTCTTTATTTTCTAACTCGTCTTCCGTGTCGGAAGATATTTCTTCATCCATTGGATCGTCTGTATTTTTGTCCTCCTCATCATCAGCTTTTCTCTTTTCAGAGCCGACACATAGATTTCTTGTTTCGGGATATTGCTTCAGCAAGAGATCTCTCAATTGCAACATGTTGCTCACGAGCAACATTAGCTTAGCTTTAGCATCGTTGACTTTCTTGATAAATTCTTCATCTGATCTGAATTCCTTATGCGTGTCATACTGCGGCATTTGATTACTTGTTACAACACACTTCTGCAGCTTTATTCGCATCTCTGACAGATTCTCCCAAGTCTTCAGCTGATTCCTAATACAATTGCCTTTTTCTATCTCCGCCCTAACATTTGTGTCAGACATTGTTTTGATAGTAGAATCACTTTGTTTATTAAAATTGCTTATATCCATACTATATTCAGCCTCTTCCTCGGAAACAGTACCTTCAGCATCTTCTGACTCCTGTTGTTCTGATTCTTCATCATCGTCTGACATATCGTCATCTTGTTCCAGCGTACTTTCTAACTCCTCGTTTCCTCCAGAGTCATCACTTTCCATATTTTCGCTCGTATTTTCATCTTCCTCGCTATATATATCTTTTCTAGAGACCTTTTTACCGGCATATCTGTGTTATAAAGCAACTATATAAATAAATCATATGATGTTAAGGAAAAAAAAATTTTATGTGGTAATAGTTTTCTATCTTGTACACAAATGCAAGAAATATATGTGGAATGTTACCTTTCATCCACTTTATCCAACGTATCTACATTTTGCCTGCGAATTTTAGACTGTCGGAGCTCGTCGTTAGAGGCATCGCTTTCATCGTAATGCTCCACTATTTTCGCCTTCGTCTCCTCAGGCTCTTCATCGGAGCCAAAATCCGGTTTTACCGTAATCAAGTCATTTATTTTGTCAGCCAAACTTTTTCTAGCCATTTTTTCTTATTTATAAAACGTTCAACAGGTGCACAAATAAATATAATATAATCTTCTATAACCTTTTATATTTCTCATGTGGCCTCATGCAACCATGTGGCGATACTGACAGACGCGTTGCAGAATGCAGAGTTCAATGATCCTATAACATGCTCATGCCAACATTTCGTTTAGCAGGCTAGCCAACTTATAGTCACAAATAAAAAAAAATAATATAGAAAGTGCATAATATTTAAAAGACAATAATAAAAAAGCACTTTTACGATGAGTTTATCGATGAAATATTAGCTTAAATTGGATAAAAGGAAAGAGGAAAAAGGAAAGAAACATTTGTTCTAATAATATAAAAATATTTTTATTTAATTTTGCTTTCCAATTTTCATTAAAAAAATTTTTAAGCTTTTGAGAACTTAAATTAAAAAAATTTAAACTTTTAGAAAAATATCAGAAAATATAAGTGGCACAAATAAAAATTACATGTATTTCAATTTATAAAATATATTTATTACAAAATTTTATTATCTTTTTCATTGCATATATTTCCCATGTCAAAGTAATACAGTTTTCTGTGATGAAACTTGAAATTATATTATTATAATTTTTAATATAATTTTTCATTTATTTATAAAATAATTAATTAATTATATGTACAAGCATAAATCATAAAAATGCTTAAATCAAAATATTCTTAAACTTGAAGTTAAACTTTGAAAACGGTTTATAGGCTGATAATCTGCAACAAAAAATTATATATAAGTGTATGCTTAACTTTCGTCATCTATTATAATTTATTATATATAAAATAAAATATAAAAATACCATCATATATACAGGAAGCAAAACAATTAAATTCTTTCTGTATATCCTCCATATCCACCGTAAGAATGCGGAAATTAATTTCGTTAATGTTTAATGTATTAGTTAGTTGACGTTGATATCTATTTGTTAAAATCAGTAATTCACCATTTTTACTTTTCAGCGCACTAGGAAATTGCAATGTTTCGGAATCTTGCGCGATGAGAGCCTTAAAATTAACATTTTAACATTTGAATCACATCATAATATAAATCATACTATTAGTTATTATTAATGAATAATTACGTATAAGGTAAAATATTGAAAATTATTTATTATAGAATACGCCAAGAATAATTGAATTTTGATATTTTACCGTGTTGTAGAAGTTAATTTCCTTAGTAGCGTCTGCGCACATAATAGACGTTTTTGGAATATTGCTAAAAAATATTACGCATTCCTCGGATGCTAACGATGCTGTCTGGTCTGATAAAGTGCCTACCAGTTGAGTTATTTCATTAGCCTCGCTGTCGCTTAGAGAACATTCTGCTAGCTTCGAAATATTCATTTTATAAATTTTACTTCCTGGCAAAGCAGTGTAATATAAGTCTGAAATATTTACGATACAGATATTAGAATTTGGCAAACTGACATGAATTATTTACAGAAAATCTTTTTCTTGTAAAATGTAAATACTTGCCTTCATTGATGAGTGTCAAGCTGAAAATACCGTCTGCCATGATGAAAGATTGACCTTCTATGACGAAACCGACATCAGTTGGTATCATGAAATCGGATTCGATTCTGCAGAGTTTCGAAGTTTTCGCATTATACACCACCAAGCCGTAGCCCTCCGTATCAGTCATGAACACCTGAGCCGCGATTCAGTTCATACAAATTTTTCAGATGCACATAATGACTCAAATCACAGAATATGACGCATCAAAGTTAAATGAAAATTACGCAAACTGAAGAGTATGTATTGCCGTAATTAAAAAACGCAATGCAATATCTAAAAGATTATACTAACAGTTGCAGTATCCTTTATGTTTTCACAATTCGGAGAAGCGTGGACAGCAACTGACGCCAACAATCCAATGCCGTTTTTGTCATAAGCGACGTTACGCGGAATAATAACGCGTTTAACAAGCTTGTCAGTTGATAAATCAAAGATCAACAATTGCGCAGGACAAATTTGATCTTCTCCAATCCTACCGGTATCCACTAAGAAGAGGTGATTGCATTTAATCTGAAGTGATAAGAATAACATTATTGTATTATAAATAATGTTATGCAGATGATTGTTCTGAGTGCAACATAGTTGCAAATATGATATACTGTTAATAGTTTAATATAATAACCAGATTGTTACTAGAGAATAATAATAAATGTAATACTTACTTCTAATTTATAAACGCCACCTGTAATTCCTTTGCAATCATCCTTGTACCAGGACCAATCTGGATACGGACGCAAAAGTGGACCGCCTTCTCCTTTTTCCCAAGTTATCGTTGTCACACTAACTGGTACACCCTTGTCTCTTATCGCAGTAACGAATCTTCTACCATCTATAAATATTTTGTTTGTACACAGAGTTTGCAAAAATTATCCCCTCAATTGTTATCAGTGTACCTGGTGCCCTGTCTAAATCATACAAAAAAATTAGGCTAGCATTGTAATTGCCGGAATCTATCGCTTGTTGCCTTTGATGCGGACTCTCCCAGATAAAGTCCACGTACTTCCATTCATGATGGAGCTTCAACTGGCCAAGGCTCATAACTGTCATCGACAGAATTGTTACAATAAACAGAAAATATTTCATTTTTAGAAAAGTGAATAGAGTGTACAGTATTAAATACAATAACATATTGTAACAAAAAAAACTATGCCAATGAATCTCGCAAACGCGAAAGAATCAATGACATTAGTTGCACAAGACCAGTATTTATAATATGTATATTCTCAGTTCAATGCATATGACAATTTAGAAAAATATCCCGCTTATGTAACTGATAAACAATTGCAACCTCATTAAGAGTCGTTCAACTCAAAGTTATTGATAGCGATAAGTACTTGCTGTATTTCATATGCACGATATCTTATCAATGAGACTCTCAGACACGGAAAGAATAAGGTAACCACTTATTACTCAATGACTTCATTCATCATTTATTTTTTATTTTTTATTTTGCAGTTGCAAGACGAATCGCGCAGTAACTCAAAAACACGATTAAGATTTACATAAAATTGTTTTACATATAGCTATCTTAATGGTATTATCATTAAATCGTGAATGTATTTTAGTAGTTGCAAGAAGCGAAACAATTTGTCTCTTTTCGTATTTCCGCCGCATTCATCGAGAGAACGCGGAAGTTAGTTTCGTTTAGATTTCTTGTATTAGTAGCAGCACGTTGATATCTATTGCTTAAGATCAGTAGTTCACCTTCTAATTTGTATGGAACATATTTTAATCCATATGGAGTTTGTAACTTTTCGGAATCTTGCACGATGACTTCCTTAAAATCAATATTTTATTTGTAGCGATAAAAATTTTATTATTACTATTAATTAATGTAATAATTTTCAATATAAATTAATTATTTGAAATGGTTATCAAACTTTGCGCAAAAAATAATAACGTTTGACTTGCTCACCATGTTGTCGGACTTAATTTTTCTAGAAGTGTCTGCGCACATAATAGACGTTTTTGGAATATTGCTGAAGAATAATACACATTTCTCAGATGCCATCGGTCCTGTCTGGCCTGACAACGTAGCCACTACTTGAGTCTGTTTAGTAGCCTCAGAATTAGTTAACGCACATTCGCTTAGTTTTGACATTTCCATCTTATAAATCGTACGTCCAGCCGTAGCAGCATAGTAGAAATCTAAAATATTTGTAATATAAAAATTAATAATTGCAAAAAAGAATAATATTACTAATAAGATGAAGAAAAAGCTTTCTACATTTTATACGTTATCAATACACAAGTCAAAATAAAGGTTTAAATTAAGTTTAACATTTTTTATGATGTAATAGTAGATAAAGTATACATGACAGTTGAAAAAATTTTCTACTTGTTGAAAAAAGCTATACTTGCCATTACGAACAATTGCCATAGGTTCAATACCATCCGATATATGATAGCTTTGGTTTGCTACGGTGATAAGAGTATCAATTGGTCGCATGAAAGGAGTCTCAATTCTACAAACTTTTGAAGTATTGGCATTATATACCCCTAAACCGTATCCGTCTGCGTCGCCCATTAACACCTAAGTTGCAATTTTTAATTTGATAATATAAAATTTAAACTCGCATATTACATTAAATCGCAGGAAAAGATATATTAATTAAATTATTTATACGGGAAAATTGAAAATACGTATTACCGTAAATAAAATATGATGTATAATACTTAAAAAAGTAAACTAACAATCATTGTATTTATAATGTTTCTACAATCCTTAGCAAATACAAGAACTGATGACAATACTCCATCGCCGTCTTTGTTAGTAGAAATATTAAGCGGAAAAGTAAGTCGTTTCACCAGTTTATCCGTTGATAAATCGAAAATAAGTAATTTTGGAGGACAAATTTGGATGCCGTTTGGTTCAACTTTTCCACCATCCATAATGAATAAATGATTGCATTTAATCTAAGATAAAGAGAAAAATTGTATTTTAAGTGTTGTTTTTATGTAAATTATTGCAAACGCAATGCACATATGCTATATGATATCTTCTTGATCACCTCTTGACAATCTCAAAGCATCTTCGTATCACTTAAAATCGCAGATAATCAAATGTTAGCAATATTGACCAAAGAGATTGACAAAAAATTTGAATAAGTTTGATTAAAATTGATAAAATTTGCTCAATTTACTAACATTTTGCTTGCTACAATGTTAACTATTGATCTTTGACGGCAAATATAAATACTTACATTAATTCGGTAAACACCTGTCGTAATGCCATTGCAATCATTTTTTGTATACCAAGACCAATCCGGATAAGGACGTAGAAGTGGTCCACCTGTTCCTGTTTTATTTGTTACAGTCATCACACTAGCTGGTACACCTTTGATTCTTGCTGCAGTAACAAATATTCTACCATCTACGAGAATTTTGTTTACAAACGCTGTTATTAAATTATGCTTATTTTGAATACATAATAACATTATTGGAATCAGTTTATTGCATTAACAACTTTGAAATATATGTAATAAAATATATAAATGAGATAATGATGCATTACATATAAAATGTAGATAATAAATTTTTGCGATTAACATTATTTATACTTTTGTACGTATATCTTTTATATTTATATAAATCGAATAGTATCAGCTTACCTGGTGCTTTATCTACATCAGATAAATTGATCGCAACAGGATCATAATCACCGGAATTGATCGCTTCTGCTTCTCTTCCAGATTATCCCAAAGAAAATCAACATACTTCCATTCCAGCTCGATATTTAATTTTATACCAAAACTTATAATTGTCATCGATAGAATTGATATGACAAACAAGTAGTGTTTCATTTTTAAAGCAGCTAACGATTGAAACAGTTATATACACTAAATGCAATAAAATCAAACGTTACCGATGGATTTGTATTTTACAAGCGCAAATGTACTAATGATATCATTTGTACAACGCTGCCCAATATGTACAATTTTTAATGTGATGTGTATGAATATTAAAAAACATACCCTCATTATAAGATTGATAAACCATTGCAACTATATTTGATATGCATATTATCTTATCAAAAAAATTTTCAGAAACGGTAAAAGTAAGACAATGATTAATTTCATGTTTTTTTTTTATTTTTAATTATTTTAAATTTCTATTTTACAATTGTATGAGTTGCACAGTGACTTGGCAATACATATAAAATTTACAAAGATATTGTATGATACATAATTATCTTTGCATTAATACTATTATCATTAATTTGTGAAAGTATTTTGGTAGTTGCAAGAGGCGAAACAATTTGTCTCTTTTCGTATTTCAGCCACATCCACCGAAAGAATACGGAAGTTAATTTCGTTTAGATTTTTTGTTTTAGTAGCAGCACGTTGATATCTATTGCTTAAGATCAGTAGTTCACCTTCTAATTTGTATGGAACATATTTTAATCCATATGGAGTTTGTAACTTTTCGGAATCTTGCACGATGACTTCCTTAAAATCAATATTTTATTTGTAGCAATAAAAATTTTATTATTACTATTAATTAATGTAATAATTTTCAATATAAATTAATTATTTGAAATGGTTATCAAACTTTGCGCAAAAAATAATAACGTTTGACTTGCTCACCATGTTGTCGGAGTTAATTTTTCTGGAAGTGTCTGCGCACATAATAGACGTTTTTGGAAAATTGCTGAAGAATAACACACATTTCTCAGATGCCATCGGTCCTGTCTGGCCTGACAACGTAGCCACTACTTGAGTCTGTTTAGTAGCCTCAGAATTAGTTAACGCACATTCGCTTAATTTTGACATTCCCATCTTATAAATCGTATGTCCAGCCGTAGCAGCATAGTAGAAATCTAAAATATTTGTAATATAAAAATTAATAATTGTAAAAAAGAATAATATTACTAATAAGATGAAGGAAAAGCTTTCTACATTTTATACGTTATCAATGCACAAGTCAAACTAAAGGTTTAAATTAAGTTTAACATTTTTTATGATGTAATAGTAGATAAAGTATACATGACAGTTGAAAAAATTTTCTACTTGTTGAAAAAAGCTATACTTGCCATTATGAACAATTGCTATAGGTTCAATACCATCCGATATATGATAGCTTTGGTTTGCTACGGTGGTAAGAGTATCAATTGGTCGCATGAAAGGAGTCTCAATTCTACAAACTTTTGAAGTATTGGCATTATATACTCCTAAACCGTATCCGTCTGCGTCGCCCATTAACACCTAAGTTGCGATTTTTAATTTGATAATATAAAATTTATATTTGCATATTACATTATAAATCGTAGGAAAAGATATATTAATTAAATTATTTATACGGGAAAATTGAAAATACGTATTACCGTAAATAAAATATGATGTATAATACTTAAAAAAGTACACTAACAATCATGGTATTTATAATGTTTCTACAATCCTTAGCAAACACAAGAACTGATGACAATACTCCATCGCCGTCTTTGTTAGTAGAAATATTAAGCGAAAAAGTAAGTCGTTTCACCAGTTTATCCGTGGATAAATCGAAAATAAGTACTTTTGGTGGACAAACTTGGATGCTGTTTGAGGCAACTCTTCCACCATCCATAATGAATAGATGATTGCATTTAATCTAAGATAAAGAGTAAAATTGTATTTTAAATGTTGTTTTTATGTAAGTTATTGCAAACGTAATGCGTATATGTTCTATGATATCTTTTTGATCATCTAGGCGTCTTGATTTCCTTTAAGATCCCAGATAGTCAAATATTGGCAGATTGGCAGAAAATTTAAATAAATTTGATTAAAATTGATAAAATTTGCTTAATTTACTAACATTTTGCTTACTAGAATGTTAACTATTGCTTTTTGACGGAAAATATAATTACTTACATTAATTCGATAAACACCTGTCGTAATGCCATTGCAATCATTTTTTGTATACCAAGACCAATCCGGATAAGGACGTAGAAGTGGTCCACCTGTTCCTGTTTTATTTGTTACAGTCATTACACTAGCTGGTACACCTTCGAGTCTTGCTGCAGTAACAAATATTCTGCCATCTACGAAAATTTTGTTTATAAACGCTGTTATTAAATTATGCTTATCTTGAATACGTAATAACATAATTAGAATCAGTTTATTGCATTAACAACTTTGAAATATATGTAATAAAATATATAAATGAGATAATAATGCATTAAATACAAAATGTAGATAATACATTTTTGCGATTAAAATTATTTTTATAATTTGATATATATTTTTATATTTTTTTATACAAATCAAATCGAGTATAGTATCAGCTTACCTGGTGCTTTTTCTACATCAAATAAATTGATCGCAACAGGATCATAATCACCGGAATTGATCGCTTTCTGTTTCTGTTCCGGATTATCCCAAAGAAAATCAACATACTTCCATTCTTGCTCGACATTTAATTTTATACCAAAACTTATAATTGTCATTGATAGAATTGATATGACAAACAAGAAGTGTTTCATTTTTAAAGCAGCTAACGATTAAAACAGTTATATACACTAAATGCAATGAAATCAAACGTTATCGTTGGATTCGTATTTTACAAGCGCAAATTTACTAATAATATCATTTGTACAACGCTGTCTAATATGTAGTTTTTAATCTGATGCGTATGAATAATTAAAATACATACCTTCATTATAAGATTGATAAACAATCGCAACCCCGTTAAGAACTGGAAACTCATGGTTATAGATAATGACATTTTTTGCAAGTGCATTTGATATGCACATTATCTTATCACTGAGATTTTCAGAAACGGAAAAATAAGAAAATAAATAATTTTTTTTTATTTTTAATATTAAAAAATTTTTATTTTACAATTGTATGAGTTGCACAGTAACTCGGCAATACATATAAAATTTATGCAGAGATATTGTTTTATACATAATTATTTTTGCATTAATAATATTATCATTAATTTGTGAAAGTATTTTGGTAGCTGCAAGAAGCAAAACAATTTGTCTCCTTCCGTATTTGCGCCACATCCACCGAGAGAATGCGGAAGTTAGTTTCGCTCAGATTTAACGTATTGGTGACGATGCGCTGAAATCTATTCGTTAAGATTAATAGTTCACCTTCCGGTTTATATGGAAGATATTTCAGCCCACTTGGAAATTGCAACTTTTCGGAATCTTGCACAATGAGTTCCTTAAAAGATATTTTATTTGCAGAGATAAAAATCGTATTATCGTTATCAAGTTATGTAATAACCGCTATTACAAACTAATTATTTAAAATTGTCCCACTTTGCACTGAAAATATTTATATTTAAATTGCTTACCATATCGTCGGAGTTAATTTTTTTGGTAGTATCTGCGCACATAATAGATGTTTTTGGAATATTACTGAAAAACAATACACATTTCTCAGATGCCATCGGTCCTGTTTGGCCTGACAACGTAGCCGCTACTTGAGTTTGTTTAGTAGCCTCACGGGTAGTTAACGTACATTTAATGAGTTTTGACACTTCCATTGTAAAAATCGTATGTCCAGCCGTAGCAGCAAAGAATAAATCTAAAATATTTGTGATGTCGAAAGATTAATAACTACAGAAAGTAAATTAACAAACTGTAGAAAACTTTTCTATGTTTTATACATTGTTATTAACACAACATATAAGCTTATATAAATGTTAACGAAAAATAATTAATTTAGTATAGCATAAATATGTATTTAAAGTTATATGTAAAATTCTTAAAGTTATATGATGTAATAAGCATTTTGAAACATTTTTTTGCTTATTAAAAAGAGGGTACTTACTTTTATCAATAACTGTCATGCCAACAATGCCGTCCGCCAAAGAAAAACTTTGGTTTGCTATGGTGAAAGTGGTATCAATCGGTTTCATGAAAACAGTTTCAATTCTACAGAATTTTGAAGTATTCGCATTATATACCACTAAACCGTATCCTTCCGAGTCTCCTATGAATACCTAATATAAATCTTTGATTTGATTAGAATGCAAAACTTACAATCGCAAAAGATAGTAGATACAAATCAAATTTTATTTGCGCAAGCACAAATTGTGCGAATACGCAACGTGTAATAGTTAAAAAAATATACTAACAATCATAGTATTCATTATGTTTCTACAATGCGGTGCGAAGACAGTAAGTGACGTCAAAAGTCCAAAGCCGTTTTTATTATCAGCGACATTCGGCGGAATGATAATACGTTTAACTAGTTTATCAGTTGATAAATCGAAGATGAGTAATTGCGCGGGACAGATTGAGACGTTCGGTTCGTATTTACCAGAATCCAAAATAAAGATGTAATTGCATTTAATCTAAGACAAAAGTAGAAGTAATCTGTTAGATATCTGATTTACTTTCGGTTATTTAAATGTAACATTTTAAAGTAAGATGTAGCTATTACTTTTAGGAGAGAGAAATTGATGAATACTCACATACACTCGGAAAACACCTGCCGTGATGCTATTGCAATCATTTTTTGTGTACCAAGACCAATCTGGATATGGACGCAGAAGTGGACCACCCTCTCCTTTTTCATTTGTTATGATCATCACACTAGCTGGTACACCTTTGGCTCTTGCCGCGCTAACGAATATTCTACCATCTACGAGAATTTTGTTTGTAATACTATTATTAAATACTATTATAAATTATCCGTATTGTGACTACAAATTTGTTGCAATAATACTGTGATTTATTGCACTAACAACGTCGAAATGTGTATAATAAAGCATGGATAATAATACTTTATATAATAATAAGTTTTTGTGTTTAAAAGTACCTTTGTGTGTGTGTGTGTGCATTTTCACATCAATTTAGTTTTAAACTTTTAGATAGTATCAATATACCTGATGCCTTATCTGTGTCGAGAGAAAAGATTGCACCAGGATCATATTCGCCGGAGTCTATTGCTTGTTGCTTCTGTTGTGGATTGTCCCAGAGAAAATCAATGTATTTCCATTCGTATTCGACATTCAACTTTAGACCGAAACTTATAATTATCATTGACATTATTAATATGATAAGCAGAGGAGACAACATTTTTAGCGCAAGTAGTTAAGATAATAACATACAATAAAATAATGTAATTAAATTGTACCGGTAAACACACATTTCGCAAACGCAAATGCATAAGCTTCGATAAAGCTAACCAGTATTTATAATATATTCTTAGCTCAATGCATATGAATATTCGAAAACATATGCTTATTATACGACTGATAAATAATTCAAGTCTCATTAAAAGTTAGTTAACTTTAGTTAACTAAGTATTATTGATAATAAGTACATTTTAACTATTTAACACATAGTAAAATTACTTAATATTTTATATTTAGATTTTAATCCTTTATATTTTAATCCTTAAAATAATTAAATTATTACTCAGCAGCTTGCTTTTGGTCAACTTTTGTAACTTTTTAAATATTAATTATTTTATAGAGATTTTGAAAAGATAAAAAGTTTAACTAAAAGTAAATTAATATTCTAATTTCAAGAATCAAAATTTTAATCTTTGATAAACTGGCATTGTCATAATTTTAATTTTTTTGATATATTTCTATATAAAAAATACTATCTCTAATAAATAGAAATAATTATATTGTAACATCTCCCTAAAAATTTTTGATTTATAAAATTCTTTTTTATTGACCGGTGCACCAAATGGTTTGAATCTTTGCTAAAATTGTTTGAGTTTTCTAGTTACATTATATGATGGCGCTTTAGCTGTCCTTCATTTAGGGACCCTAGAAGCGAGAGAAATAAAAATTGAAGGACGCGATTAGGCGTTTTCTGACCGTTATACGGCCTCCAATCTTGATGTTGTTCTCCGAACTCATGCAGCTGATTCTTTCACCGTTGGTCAGCCTGTACGTCAGAGATTTCACATGGCCGGCAGTTTTTAATAGTTCATGTTGCGGATTAGTAGTGACCAATCGCTAGCGATATTTGGAGACGAGATGATCAGCTGTGAAAATTGAAAATAAAATATTTTTGCCGGGTTAATAGGCGAATGATATTTTAACTTGTATTCATTTATTAGTACACGTTTTATGTGTAAATATTATATTGATATATATTGATATACGTTAGTGTTTGACGTATATTAATACTCAACTGCATTGGATAAAATTTTATGTGCTGCCTATTTGTTTTAATACAAATCTAATCATTTGGAGATGGTGAGAACAGGCTTATCTTTCTTGCTTATTAAATCTATTATTCTTCTCTTGCTTTACTTTAATTTTTTTTTTCAGTACTCTTTAATTCATAAAACGGAAAATGCTCACGAGGACAGTATATGGACTTGTGCATGGGGTTGTCCAAAGAGGAGGAAGGATAGTCAACCAGATAATGAAGATTCACGGTAATCAACAAGTTATTATAATTTTTTTCATTGGCGAAAGGATATTTCAATCATATATTATTTGACAGAGATTCTATAAGATCCAATGAAGACGAGACAGTGGAATATCTAGTAACAGGTTCTGTGGATGATGCTGTGAAAGTATGGGAACTGAAGGATGGTGATTTGAAAATGAAACATAAGTTGACTGGACATTCCTTAGGAGTAGTTTCCGTAGCTGTCAGCTCCGATGGGTCAAGTAAATAAAATTTTAATTTGATGTAAGATATATTTACATCAAATTCTTAGATTTATTTTGTATCATTGGAAATTTATAGAATGTGCCTCCAGTTCACTCGACTCCAGTTTAAAATTGTGGGATTTACAATCTGGAGACAAACTATCGAGCATTGAAGTTGGTCCTGTAGACATATGGACTGTGGTCTTTTCTCCGGATGATAAATTCATAGTATCTGGCAGTCACTCCGGCAAAATACATTTGTACGGGACTGAAAGTAGTAAGCAAGAACAAACATTGGACACGAGAGGTGGAAAATTTACATCGAGTGTGGCATATGTAAGATTAAATAAAAATTCAAACATATCACATGTTATGTAACTTCTGTATAACAAGCTGCATTTCAGAGTCCGGATGGTAAATATATTGCAAGCGGTGCGATAGATGGCATCATTAATATTTTTGACGTTGCTTATGGAAAAGTTTTGCGTACATTGGAAGGTGAGTCCACGCGCGAGTGTATTAAAGATCATTACCAAGTTGTGGAATTTTTTATCAAAGCTTGCATTATTTTTAGGTCACGCCATGCCGATCAGGTCTCTGTGTTTCTCACCAGACTCTCAGCTGCTCCTTACTGCATCCGATGATGGACATATGAAGTTGTACGATGTGTAAGTATATAAACTAGGAATTTATAATTAAACTTGTAGCATTATTAAAAACAACTGAGTATTAATCTCATTTCTTTCTTTTTTATTCAGCAAGGATGCAAATTTAGCTGGAACAATGTCGGGTCATGCTTCTTGGGTACTTGGCGTGGCTTTTTCACCGGATGGACAGCAATTTGCATCAAGCAGTTCCGATCATACAGTTAAGATTTGGGAATTGGCACAAAGACAGTGTCTACATACATTTAATGAACACAAGGATCAAGTAAGACTCTTAAAATAATATTCAGACAAAATTATGCATAATGTCAATTTTGTAAAACTAACAAAATGCAACTTTTACAATAGGTATGGTCGGTAAAGTATAATCCACAGCGAAATAACGTTATCGCCTCAGTGTCCGAAGATAAGTCCATCAATTTGTATGAATGTCCGGTATATGATAATAAGTAATCGCATCAAAAGGATGAATAAATATTTTTTTTATCTGCTATTCCGTTTATTCTCTGTCTAGTTGCAAACAGCCGATGACACACCTCTTTTCTGTTTAGATTACGATAAAAAAGGGGATATTTTTAGCTATAAATTTTATTGTACTGCAAGTAATAATGTACAAATTATAGAGATATCTGACGAATTTAAAGCGCGAAATGTAACAAAATTATATATTTAAATTATAATTATTTTTAAAACTTAGAGCGAAGAATGAAAATAACATTATTTAAAAAAATTATTACAAGAATACTTGTGGTGTACAGACCAAATACACTTTAAGGAACAACGCAAAGATACCCTGATGTGCTTCCAAGTTGGCGGGGTTAAATCTAATTAACTCGAACTGGAACAGGGTAAAACCGCAAAGGAAGAACCTTTTCAATTAAACTAAATATAATAAATTCTAGCTCACGTGCCAAGCAATCTCTCCTTCCGGCGAGAATTCGACATCGATCCGATTCCCACAGAAGGAAAATTGACACGATAGAAAAAAATTAAAGATAAAAAAAATCTTGCATTAAAGTCTGCAATGAAAGACAAAAGAGCAACGTTGGAAAATAATCAAACGCACAGCTTTTTGATTTCAGATCTATGAGTATAGTCTCATTGATCTGTACACCCCTTTGATAATGGTATACGTTCACTTCCCAAGGGGTTAATTGTCGAATTTGGACACCACTTACAACGCGAAGCCAATTCTCGCGATACATGTAGTACGTGATGAAAATAGAAGGTATATTGCCCGTAGACTAGAAACTTAAGGTAATACTTATAAAATTTTTGTCCCGTTATTGTAATGCCATTTTTTTGTTTTTTTTTTTTTCCTTTAGCGAACTATTTAGACCGCTCTACATTCACAGTCGATACAAACGGTGCTACCTCGTTACGATTAACTTTCGACGTCGAAGATACCCGAGCTTATTCCAGATCTTCATCGCCTTATCAGTCTTCAAAAAGTAATTAGATTCTGTTTAAGAGATGGTACGAATTAGTTAAAATACGATGGAAACAAAATACAGATCGCCGCGATCTTTCTACGATTTTTTTCTCTCTCAAGTACGGAGATGCACAGCAACGTTTCATCCCAGCGCGGTGTGTTTACACATCGTACATAGGTTTAAACACGTATTACTAAAAACGTTTCTACATTCTTCACTCACATCTTCGATATTATATACAAAATTGAATAAATAACCGATCAAAGTCACGGCGCGCGCGCGTGCTACGCACTATGGATTTTCGACTGGCTCTCTTCTTTTTTTCTCTTTCTTTCTCTCTCTCTTTTTCTCTCTCTCTCAATCTCGGAATTACTCTCTATCTTTATGTATATATACAGCAGACAAAATGGACAGGAATGGTTTTGCGATCTCCCGCTATAATATTTAACACGGTTTTCGCCGTTGCTGAAGAAGTTGGCATCGCGGTATTTACGGGTAATTGCCACAATTACATGACTATTTTATATTCCGGACAAAATGTCGAAGAATCATTCCGCGCGCGCTTCCACGCGCGCATCGTACAACGAGACCGAAGGGGGAAATGATAAGAATTATCTACGATAAAATTATCGTAATGCGTATCACATGTGACGAATGTATGTGGGCGAAACATATATCTATATAGCAAGCAAATGTACAATGACTAGCCTGGAACGCAGAGGAGGCGATTATTACAGAGCTTTTTATGCGTTTCGTTTAGGGGGGTAGATGGGGAAGGGGGATCGACGATCCTATACTGTCGTCACCCTAGCGGATCCAGTGACTATTTCCGCTGCCTCGAATTTACCCTGACCCTCGTCCGACCTAGCTCTGGCCGCCTGCGATGGAATGTCTGGCTTCGGATTGTAATTAAAAGGCGGCACGATCGCCGAGGCCGGCGTTCGCACGCCGTTCTCCGCTGCCGCTGCCGCCGCCGCCGCTGCTGCTGCTGCTGCTGCCGCCGCCGCCGCCGCTGGATCCATCCGGATGAAAGAGCCGAGCCTGGATATCCTCTTGGTCGGGTCCGTCTCCGCCGCGAATTCGGCGCTCTGTTGCTTCCTCATGGTCACCAAGGCGTCATCCAGCTGCGTCGTCTCTCTCTTGTACGACTCGCAGGACTTCACCGGGATCTTACAGGGTGCCTCGTGGGCGCTCACGCCCGTCAGATCGCAGGAGTTTCTGTACTTGGGGCCGCCAGGTGCCGCGACTGGTGCGCCCAGGATGGGTAGTTTGGACGTGACTCTGCAGGCGATTGTCTCGTCGTCGTCGCTGTCCTCCTGGGAGATTCCCTCGAACGTGGAACTGCGAAACAGTCTGTACGCCGGTGGGTTGCTGTACGCAGCGGCGGCGGGCGCAGCGTCCACCTCGGTGGCGCTGTTGGCCGGCCTTATCCACTGCCTGGTGTCCTTCTCGAAGCGCTGCTTGTTCCTGCTCTCCTCGACTTTCTTCCAAAGACTCGCGATCTTGCTCGTCGCCTCCTTCGTCAGCTTGCGATTCTGCACGTTCGGCGACGTGTTGGAAACTATGCTGGAGTTGCTGTTGGACCGCTGTCCGAGCGGACTAATTTTGCGGACGGTCTTCTCGTTCTGCGGTGCGCTGCCGTTGAGAACCTTCGCCGGGGGAGCTATTTTTCCAGGCGACACCTTCTTCGGCGCCATCAACAGCCCTTTGGGCGGCTGCATCTTTTCGGAGCTGTTCGCCTTCGTTAGTTTTGGCTGATACGCGGCTTGCGCTTTTACAGAGATCTTGGATTTCGCCGCCGCTGGATGCACCTTCGACGACGCGCCTCTGATTGGCTTGGCGATCTTTGTCTTCACCGGCGAGGAGGACGCGGAGTGCACCGTTGGTGCGTTGTCCACTTCCGGCTCGTCTTTCGTGAAGGTTCCTTGACGCTCCAAAGCCTTGAATGCAACTTCCGGCGGTTTGACGTCGCTCTGATAGTTCGACGAGCAGGCCGGTGGTGTGCTGTGACGCTTAGCAGACTTCGTGAAGGTCAACGAGGATCCTTTCTGCGGCACGGAGGCTCTTTTCGATACAGTCGCCAGGTTTCGCGTCTTCCTCTCCGCGTCCACGGAAAACGGCGTTCTCTTCGGGCTCGTGTTCGATTTCGGAGAATCTTTCGTAGCCGTCGAACTGTTGTTATTCTGTCTCAACGTGGTGGCCCTCGTAGCTCTGACGATAGGCGAGGTGTTGCTGCGGCCAATGGGTATCCCGCTGACGGGGTTCACTTGTTTCAACGGCGACGATTGCGGCGTCGGTTTGCGCGTTATTGGATTCGAATAGAGCGCCTTTCTTCGTCCTCTGATGGCCTTCGGGCTCTCTGGCTCGGACTTGTCGGTCGCGTTGGAATCCGCGCTCGGGTCTCGACCCGGCATTCCCGGCTTGATTATCCGCGGCCTCTTCGTCTCTCTCGGTTCCTGCTCCTCGCAGTTGGATTCTGCGTCGCTGTTCGATTCAGTCGCACCTTCGCGAGCCGCTTCCGCGCGCTCAGTTTGCATTTCATCATCGTCGACTTGCTGCGCGCCCATCAGCTTCCTGGAAAGTCCGTTTACAAAACGCATTCTGAGATTATGCTCGGAGTCATTCGCCACAGTGTACGTTTCGCAACGCAGAGTGTCGTCGTCTCTGACGGAGTCGTTCGTAGATTTGTTCGATTCTTTTAAATTCTTCAATACGATTGTGGCGTTTTGTTCCAACAAGCTTTGAATTTCCCCCCGCGCGTATCCTTGCGCTTGTCCTTCTTCTGTCGCGCTCGCGCCGTGCTCGTTCTCCTTAAAGACAGCCTCCGAGTCGTTCAACGTTCTCGTGCGATATCTTTCTTTGCTCTCCTGGGAATCGCCGCGTTTCCTCCTCAACGCCTTGCACACGGGCAATTTCGTCAGCGTCGGGATCGAGGATTTGATGGGAGACGCGAGTTCCTGCTTCTCGACGTTCCCAGCCGGAATTTGCTCCACTTCCGCCTTAGCTTTAGCCGCGTTCAAGTCTGGGAAGGGATTTTGCAGCACCTGCGTCTGGAATCTCGCTCGATTTTCTTGCCTGCGCTGCTTCGGCGTCAGCCTCGTAAAGGAAGAGCGTGGAATCTTATCGCCCTCGCCGTTGTTAGCACCGTCCTGCTTGCGGCGTTCCTCTTCCTCCTTCTTAACGATTTCCGCGGCGATGGTGTACGTCTTGTATCTCTCTTTTGTCAAGTGCCGCTTTTGCTTCGGGGTCAGATGGCTCATCAGGTGCGGCCGCCTCTTCGGCGTCGACTCCGCCGAACTGCTGACGCAGTACTCGGACGAGATCGGCGTAGCCGCCTCGTCAGTGTCGTTTTCCGCTTCGTCGATCACTTCCGCCACGATGGAATGGACGTCGGTGTGCAGCTCCGTCTCGATGCACAGCGTGTCGCTGCACAGAGTGTCCGTATTCGCCTCCATCGTCGACTCGTCCATCTCGGTCACCTCATTGAACAAAGATGGCGGATTGATGTTCTCCAGGCACTCGCTCAAGCTGTTGTTCGCGCTGCCCTCGGCGTAGCGCATGCACGTCATAGACAGCACATTGGCGACCGGCTTCAGCATCTCAAACACCACCGGGTCGCTGCCAGTTAGGCTGTGCGAGTCCTGGTCCTTCGCGTCCGCGATTTCCGATGTGATACTGGCTACGCTCAGCATGCTGTTCTCCATATCACCCACGTCCGGCAGCTCGTCCATCATCGACGGCGGCTTCACATTTTCGAGATGCGAGCTGGCGCACTCGTTCAGCAGGTTCTCCAGACTGGTCGTGTGACTCTGATTGCCGTGGCCTAGCGCCCGTTTCGCCACCATGCCGATTGGCAGGGACTTCTTCCGCACGTTGCGAGGATCAGTGGAATTTTTCGCGGGCACCGGTGGCAGCGACGTGGAATAACATCTGTCGCGGTTGACGAATGCCTCGCTGTTGTCGACCGAGCCGGCGTAACTCGCGGTCAGCGACAGCAGGCTGCCCATCGAAGATGGTGGTTTAATCGCTTCGAGATCGATGGACGTCAGACTCGTCGTCTCGAGCTCGTTCTGATTGTTGGTTTCGGCGTCCACCGCTTCCGCCAGCTTGATGGCCTCGCGCTGAATGATCCTCGATTCCGTCATATTGGTCTGCTCGTTGTTCTCGGGCTGCACGTTATTATCCTGCGTATGGCACTGATCCTCCTGCGCGTCGCTGTTGAAGGAAGCGACCAGCGGCGCGCTGATGCTGATGCTGGGGAAGGAAACGTCGTTGGGCGAATCCTCGTTCCACGTGTCGCACGTCAAACTCTGCTTCATCGCGCCGGAGTCTCGCTCGCGCATCGCCTCGGTTTGTTGCACCAGCGTAGCCGTTAATCGATCCAGCGATGCGATCATAGCGTCGGGATCTCTCTGCCTTCTGTACGTCTCCTCCTTCGTGTGCTTCTCCGCGCTCTCGCGATGTAGAACGTCCGTAGTCCTCACGATGTCGAATGCAGCTTCCGGTTTCCCGTTCACGTTGCCATCAAGCTCGGATATTTCTTCCGAAATGTTGCTTCTTCCTTTTATGAAGTGTATTTGTTTGTTGTATAATTCCAGCTGCGATTTAACGTAATCCGCATTGCTCTGGTTTATGGCGATGTTGCCTTCGGATTTTATGCCGGGTTGAATGCACAATTCCAGGAGAGCGTGTTCGGACTGCTCGACAGAGTCAATTGATTCGCTGCTTTCGGAATCCTTCGTGAACGATTGCTTCATCGGAATATCTGCGATCTGATCGTCGATTGTCGCTTCGTCCGGTCGTGAGTCCTTTTTATCCGTGCCGTCATTTATAATTAATTCATTGGAGACGTCAGGTCTCTGTAAAACAGGTATCACCTTTTCTGAGAAATTATTGCTATCATCATTCATTGCTGTTGTGGCGGAAGCGTCATTTAACTCCGTAATATTACGCGTATATTCGTCATTTGTATTTGTCACCTGAGAGAGAAAAATAACGATTTTGAAATATAATATCAAAAAATTGATACATGAAATTAATGTCCGAGGATTAATAATCTTACCGTGGCTGTTTTCAGATTGTTCTGTTTTTCATTATCCTTCCTGCCCTCTTTATTCTTTTCTGATAAAACATTTTCAGCCGTCGCTCCTCCACGAGATGCCGCATATTTCATATTAAACGACGAGTTATTCGACTCAGTTCCATTTTGATCGACTTGATTTAAGGCTAGACTAGTTTGATATCGAGTCAAGTTACTATCTGATCGAGGAAGCTTCTCAAGATTATTTCCTATGAAGGAATGTCTGTGCCTGCGCAATTAAATAATTCAGTTAAGAGAAGAAGAGTTTTATATTTTATAATTTATAGTTCTATATTTTATAATTTTACCTATTATTTTGCATTCCAATATTAATACAAGCAGCAAGCAGATCTTCGTCATCCTCATCTCCGTCGCTAACTTGATCTAAAAAAATTCAAATAAAAAAATTTTTTTATCATTATATATTATAATTTCGCGTATTATTATATTACTTACATCCTGAATCGTTATTGGAAGTTTTCAAACCGCTACTGCCAGACGAGAATTCCACGTCACTCGACGGTAAATCTTTATTTGCTTTGCCGATACTTGATTTCGAGTCTGCAAATTTACATTAGTTGTGAGAGCAAATTACAAGAAAAGTTTAACCTAAACTAAATGTCTTAAATTACCTAAATTGATAATCCTGGAACTGGACTCTCCATCGTGATCATCATTATATTCAGAACTCCCTAATACCATCGAAATTGGTGTCGTCCTGACGCTATGAAAAAAAAAATTAAATAAACAATTATAAATATTAAAAACATTAACAAGTATAATCAATTAAAAAGCATTCTAATTTAATGTACATGACAAGCTTATAATTAAAAGTTATTAAAATTTGAATCTCAGAATTGTTTTTAATATAGTAATTATTTGGGAAGTGTAGATACCTTGAAAAGTTCTGGATGATTGTGTCTTCTTCAATGCTCTTGAGCGGTTTGCCTAAATCCTCCTCAAGGTACGGCAGCGAATGATTTGCGCTTTCGTCGTCCGTCAGATGCGTCACGCCTCGTAAATTCAGCTCCGCTTCCGATTCGGTGAAGTCGTTCAATTTTGGCACGTCTGTCAAGGACGACGCTTTGCATTCACCGCGATCCTCCACGTGCCCAGCCTTGTATTGTTCCGACAGCTGCTTCCTCGATGAGCTCCTTATACGGCTGTCGTCCTGCAAATCGGACGCGGAGGTGGCTCTGGACGAGTTTAGGGACGTCGTGCGCGGTGTTCCCTCCGTGTAGTAAGTCTTGACCGTGTCCTCGTGCAGGAGTCCTTGATCGTTGCCCGGGAAGAAGCCGGAGTGTTGCTTCTCGTCGTCTATCGTCTGCTCGCCGTAGCGCAGACTGTAATCGGTCGGTTGATCCAGATCCGTCTCGGCGTAGTCGCCGAACAGATTGCCGTCCGGGCCGCGGCTGATCGTGGGCGAGATCGCTTTTTGAATGCTGTTCAGCGCGTCGTGTTGACGCAGCAGAGCCTTCTCCGCGTACACGAAGCCCGTGCCTTCCTTTACGTCGGGCAGATAGGAGGCCTGCTTCGAGCCGTCCAGGTTCGCGGTTGCTCGTCGATAATCCGACTTGGCGCAAACGGTCGCCTCAATCTCCTCGGAGACGCTGGATTGACTGCCCGCTTTGGACGAGAACGACACGCTCTGGTCGATCAAAGACGCATTATTCTCGATGGAAGAGTGCAAGGAGATCTGAGAGGGCTCTTGATTGGGCACCGCGGCCCACGATATGGTGGAGTTTGTGCACTTGAGCTCGTTCACGTCGAAACCGACGTCGGACGGCTTCAGTCGTTCCGGTATGGAGTTCTTGTAACGTAGAGTGTACTTCCGCTCGGAAGAGGTGGCCCTCGCGTGACCGTCGCTGCTACACGCGCCATTGTCGAATCCGACTGCGGAATGCAACGACGAGGATTGCTGCTTGATCTGCGAGTCCGTAGGCGACACGCCGTTCAGAACGTGACGATTCACTCGCTCGAACATAGTGTCGGAGTGCGTGCTGGTGATGGAACGCATGGAGTCTCTGCTCTCGCTGCGGGCGACTCCGTTGCTCTTGGCGGTCGACGTGCCGGGCTGGCTGTGCAGCTGATAAGCACGCAGACTATGCGCGTTGATGCCGAGGAAGCTGTGGTCCAGCTTGAACGTGAATTTGTCGTCCTTATTGATCGGCGACGTGCTCGGCTCGATGTTGTCGCACGTCTCGGCCAGGTTCTGGTCGATTTCTTGTTCGAGAGCGCGCTGCCGGCGCGCGGCCAGACTCGGCAGCGTTGACAGTCCGAGTCCGCGCGCGGTAGAATCCAGATGGACGAGATTGTTGCATCCAGGTCGGGCGCTCAGCAGGTTCTTCAGGGCCGCGCTCGAGCCCATCGAGATCATCTTGTGCTTCGAGTGCACGAGACTGCGCAGCATCGGCACGGCGCCCAAGTCCCAGAGAAGCCGCTGATCCTGAGGACACCGCGCGGACAGATTCCACAGCGCCCCGCAGGCGTTGCTGACGACCGTCAGACTGGGCGATCGTAGTTGCTGCAGGAGAACCTGCAGGCAGCCCCTCTCCCTCACGATGGCTCTGTAATCCTCTCGCACCGCCACGTGACTCGATACGTTCCTCAGGATGCCGCCGGCGTTCTCGATGATCGCGAGTGTCTTGGACGGCGCCTTGTAGCTCAGCATGTCCACGAGGAAGGCGAGCGCGCCGTCCACGGCGCAGATGTCCACTTTGTTCGTGCTGCAGTGCGCCGACAGATTCCACAGGGCGGACAGTATGGATTTAAGGGTGGACTCCTTGCGGCCCTCCATCGCGGCCCTCATCAATCCCGTCACCGCTCCGACTTCCCTCAGCGTCTGCTTGCTGCTGCTGTCGGCGCGCCAGGACAAGTTTCTCAAGACACTCGCCGTCACTTGCCTGAGATCGTCGCTGGGGCTCCTGAGCTGCGAAACTAGAGCCTTCATGAACTCCTTGAAGGAGCAGAGCAGCGCTTTATTGTTGCCGTCGCCGAACGTGAGATTCGTCAGCGCCATTCCCGCGTATCTGCGCAACGTGATGCAGTTCTGATCGTCGCTCTCGCTGCCGTGCGCCAGGTGATCCATCTCGATGAGCTCGGCGACCGCGTGGAGGCCGCCCAGCTGGCACATGGCGTGACGGTGCGCCTCGTCGAAGGAGAGCTTCATCAGCGCGGCTATCGGCGCCGCCGGGTGTCCTCGCTCCAGATCGTCCGCCGGCTGACCTCTCTCCAGCGATATCCTCAGAGTCTGGCAATAGTCGCGCAGTTGTTCGAGAAACCGGAGCACCCGCGCCTCCCGGCGGCCCGCCCTCTCGTCGCTTTTAGCGTGCACCACGTTGTGCAGCGCCTGCATAGCTCTGTCGCGGGTGTCCGGATCCTGGCCGGGCGCGTGAATCAGTTGCACCAGCAACGGCAGACACCCGGACTGCCTCATCACCAGGCAGCTGTCGATAGACGTGCTCATCGAGAGCAGCGTCGTGCTCATGTCGTCCCGCCCGTTCTTCTCCAGCATACCCAGCAGATTGTACACCACGTCCACCTTGGCACCCAGCCGCCGATGACCCGGCAGCTCCGTGGAGCTGCCGGCCTCGAGACCCGCCGAGTTCGACGACGAGAAACTCATCACGCTGGCCACATCCTGCGCACAAGTTTCGTGCATGCTGCATTCACATTCTTCCAAATACATTGTTTGTACAAAGAAAGCATTCGACGCGCCTCGATCGGATAATTCTGAACTTGAGACATTTAATTTTATAAAATATAAAATATAAACGTTTAAAATACAGATTTTCTGAAATAAATAATTTTTGTATCATGATATTGTTATCATTTTTCATCTCTTCAACAAAGTAGCATGTGCAAAGTTTTAGTGTGAAGCTTATTTTTAGGTGCGTCGATTTTTTTTAATAAACAATGCACAAATATTTAGAGTTGTGTCTAAAAAGTGTCTAAAAAGCTTCTCGATTTTTCAGATATCTTTTACGATGTTAGATCTCTTAGACATTTAAACCTTTTGGTAACTTTTTGTACACCATTTGACATTTATACACGTGTTGTCAGAAAGTGAGCGGTTTGCCGAAACGGATGTCCTTTCCCGGCCGCGCCGAGACGTCGCGAAAGGACACATGTGGCGGCTTTGCGGTGGCCAGTGTGAAAAAGAAGAGACCAGAGAGACGCAGCACGCAACACAAGTGCACCGTTATAATCGTTCAACTTACATTGTGTGCAGCGAGCGATGTGCTCTGCTGGGCCGGAAAGCCAATCTGCTGATTAGCCCATACGTCTCTTCTGATGGGCCACGTTCCGCGGTACGAAGACGGCAGCCTGTGGCTAGGCAGCGAGCTGCTGTCCTGCTTAGCGTCCTCCTCACTACTGCCATCCTCGTTGTAACGTTTGCTCCTTCGCACATAGAACTGCAACGCGAAAGAATTCCTCCTCGAATCGCGTTCTCGTGAACTCAATCTCTCGCGCTTTCACCAATACATTACTAATTCGGAATCGATAAATACGTATAAATTTATATAGCACGCAATAGCACGCAATAGCACGCAAATATTCGATATAGGCGGTTTCTTTCTAAAATCGTGCGTTTGTGTGCCAAAAAAGTATGTTAATTTAAAACGCGATGTTATTTCTATCGACAACGTTAGCCTCGGTCGAACGCTCGACGTTTTGAACAAGGCCAATGCGAGTTTTCCATCTGCAAATCATCAATTTCTTTCTGTGCCGAGTGATGTATACAGGAGGGACGTGCCGCATCGTGTTTCGAAGTTTGAAATTTTCAGCACGTGTACGTGTGTGCAAAATGAATAGGGATCCTCGAAAGTAATGCCGCACGATCGCTTCGTGGAGGGTGACGACTTAAAGGGCAGACCCAGCGAAAGAGAAAGGACAGGCACAGGCGCAGAGGGAGAGAAAGAGGAAATGTATGTACATGTGCGCACAGAGAGGGAGAACGAAAGGGAAGAGAATGGCGGAGAGACAGAATGAGAGACAGAGACGAAAGGCGAGGGCTCCGTAAAATCAATACGGGACACGTTAGTGAAGGTGTATATACTCGTGCGCCACGAGCACAAGGCAATTCGTATAACAGTGGTTTTCAACCTTGGTTCCTTTTACGGAGGCAGATTTATAAAAAACGGATGATTTCGAAGAGAATTACACTGCGATTCGCATTTCCGTCTAAAGCACTAAAATACGTATCTTTGCGTAAAGTAATAAAATAAGTGTAAATTTGGCAACGCGACAGATATCTGCGTGTGCAAAATGCGTGCGAGAAAGTTTAAAATAAAGCATTATGATTCTATTTTTGTCGTGCTGGATGCTAATTAATTCTTGCTGTGCTTTTTAACGAATAAAAAATTTCTGGAGCTAAAAATACTAACGATTAATTTGACGTTTATCCGGATGTTACGAAGTTCAAAAGCAATATTGTGTTATCAGCAGTTGAAATAAAATAACGACACTTTAGTTTAAGCTTGTTAAATTTCGGAGTCACTTGTCACTAATTGTTACTAAATTGTTACTAAATAAAAAACACTTGTTACTAATTTGAAAATTTTGCATGCGAAAGATTAAGACAGCAAAATTTTATTTAAAACAATTTAGAATTAACGCAATCTGGAATTGAAAATGCGAGTCGCACATTGCTAATTCCACGACGATATTCATGTCAATACAACAAACAGTATATATACACCACACAGACCACCATTCGAGCTACGCAACTCGAATTGATCCACAACAAACGCTAGCATCGAGCTGCGTCGCGGCGACGAGTGTCAGAGGACACGTATTCTATTAGTGAATCAGCTTCAAATCTTATTGATTCCTGCCTCCTAATATATAAAATGCACGCGAAATATGTCCAATATGTTCCACGCACAGTACACACAGACATGAATTTTCCCCGCGTACAAACGCACGGATACATGAATGGAAAAAAAATGCACTTCGATAACAAGAGTTGGGAAAACACTACCTCGGGACTCGGCGTCGACGAGCGTCGCTCATCCTCTTCCTTGGCTTCCGGCTCCATGGCATCCTCCTTGCTGGTCTCAGCGACGAGAGGAGCGCCCCAATAGATTCGCGACGGCCTCGGCGCGCCGGCATCGACGACGGCGCCTTTCGCAGCGGCGCATCTCTGCGTAGCGGCGGCGACAACGGGGTTGAACGATGCTGCTGCTGCTGTTGGTGCTGCTGCTGCTGCTGTTGCGGCGTCAGCGGCCGATTCCAGCCTGCGCGATGTCAGGGGCGGCGGCGACGCCTGCCGTCTCTGTCCGCCCCACACGCCGGCGACGCCTTCCACCCCGACGCTCGCCGCCGCCGCCGCCGCCGCTATGCCGCACGGCACGCGGCCTTCCGTCGCGCGCGATCTGTCTCGGCGGGTTTCCGCGTTCTCCTGGAAACAGAAGAAAAAAAAAGGGTAAAATGGGCGAGCCACGGAAGTGGAAATTGCGTTGAGCGAAAGTAACGAGCTCATTAGAGGAGTTCGACAACCTAGAAAATAAAGAGAGAAAAAAATAATGTTGGAACTTTTGCAAAAATGTAAAGCAGTTTAGCGATCTGTTACGCTAGGCTGTTCGGTGGATATTTTTTTCAAAACTGGAAAAGGAAAAATCACGCCGCACGAAGGTGCGAGTTCACGATGAAAGTGCGAACAATAAATTAAGAAAAAAAAAGAAAGAACGTGCAACCTTGCGTATTTATTGACGCGATTATTTTGTAACAAAGTTGCGAAAATATCAATCGAGTCAATAATAGATTTGTTAACGTTAGATAAATAAAATGCCAATCTACTGCATAAAAATGTGCAGCGTCTTTTGCCATTCACCACCCGAATGGCGTGGGCAGAAATGGCAGGAGATTAGCGTTCATTATCATATCTAAGCCGTTGCGATGGAATCAAATGTATCCGGTGCATTCGTAATTAAGTAACTTGTGGTCACGACAGCTTTATTCGCGAATAAATCGCTTGATTTATTGCCGCTCTTTATGCCAATTGCTTCACATCGGCGGAAATATAATCTTCTTTTCACCTGTTGGTGAAAGCGTACCGTGTGACGATTAGAATTATTAATCGTGCGGAAGCGCCAGTATGTATTTCAAATGCGCTACACGTTTGTGCCACTTTCCAATTTGAATGTCAAGGTCAAGGCGCGCGCTCGAGTGTCGTAATATATCTCGAAACAGCAACTGAGACTAATTGTTGAAGCAATCTTCGTACAAATAATAAATCGTAAAACGCCGATGACCTGCGAGATACATGCATTGGCGTTGCACGCGGTCACACCGTGCGCTCCGTTAATTAGCGCGCCGCTTGCAAGGTATGATTATTTGCGCAATTATGCGGGGGTAAGCTATTTTATCGCATCGCGATTGTGTACGCCAACCTCCAGGCTTCAATGCATGCAAGAAACCTTGAATTCACGAAGAAGTATAGCTGTGAGGTGAAACGTAAGAAATTAACGATAAGGGTGTAAGACAAACGTAAGCTCTAATGTATGTGTGTGTTAATGTACAGAATTATTCGATAATACACAGTTATTAAAAAAATAATACTTGTCTTGGATTTGAGAAGTGAAAAAAAAATATTATTACAAAAATTATTAAAAAATTAGTTATAGTTTCCACATAATTGACGTATCATCAATTATTGATCATTCAACACATTTCTGATTTAATGAGATAATAATAATTTTAAGATAAGTGAAAAATATGAGCGATTATTTATTTACGATGATCGTGATTGAGTAGATAATTTTCTACGTTTATACAAAATAATAGAAACTAAATTCTGACGTATATCAGATAATATTAATGTTGAAACTCAAACAAAATAGCGTGCGATTGCATTTATTTTCTTATCTAAAGCAGATCAATGACTACAAATTGTTACTTGGACCCAGTCGAGATTGATGATAGTGTTCTTAACGAGTCTAAACTTATCAAGAAAACCAGACAGTAAATGAAAACGAAAGAGCTTTTCGAATTTGCATTTCCCACAGCGTGCATAATTAATTCCACGAATAAGCAAAAGCGCATCTCCGTTATTCGCGATAAACACTTTCACTGTTTTCTCCGGCGTTCTCGGATATCCGATAAAATCGCACGCAATTTTTCGAAATGCCGTAAGACGATTAAATTAGATTAACCACGCCGTCTAATAATTAACGCCGTCATAATAATTAATAAATATCAAGTTAATGGCTTTTATAGTCTCCTTTTTTACTCTCAAACAATTCCTCATCTGTCAAAATTACCGGATATCGCGACGAAAGATTATCTCTCGCTCTTTGCACGAGAAAGATAATCTCTCTTCCACAACGAGACAATCATGCGCCGTAAGATCGAACGACCTGTTAAATCGCAAAGACGGAAACTAGTAGGACAAGGTGAAGACTTATTCAGCTTTCACCGTGGAATCGTCCGTTTCCTTTCTCCCGCGAGCTCATTAACCGACGACCGTAAACTTGCGATTCGCGATCGGAAAGATACGTTCTATGCAAATGGGAAGCTCGCGCGGCGACCGCAGGAGCCGCGAGGCGCGTCCACGCGAATCTGACGGACAAAACGAGCTGCTCACAGCTGCGATTTGCTGCAAGTGCTCCAAGTACGTCAGGTGAAGCGGAATTCGGCTTACTTATTGGATCGCGTACCGTCGCAGGGCAATTGGTACAAATGATGCGTCGAGATAAGGGGAGGCCGTTTAAGAGGAACTGATCCGACAATTTAATGACTTCGTAATTGGCCGAATGACTCACTCAATTGCGATCGCGGCGGATAGATAGCCGTTTTCGCGATGATGCCGCGCGCGCCCATATTATTTTATTCGACTCGAAATTGTTATATCGCGTTGCTATACAACGTGTCATTATTGAATACCCGCACCAAAAGGCACCAAAAGGCATCATTATCAATTTGAAGTGATAACAATTATCCGAAGGTCAGCGATAAGTTAAAAAAAGATAATGATTCAAAATGAAAAAGATATTAAAATAACAATAACTTTTTTTGTAGTTTTTATCTTTTAATGATAATTATTGGCTTGTAATACTGTCCTGCGCAAAGCAATTCTGTGAGCCACCAATTTTATTTTCGCCACGGCTAAGCGAGGAAGTGTATTTTAGTCACGAACGATTTGTGTACGCGCATAAATTCCGCGCGAACGCTTCACGCGGCATTCTTCGCGCTCGAAAGCATCTTTTTGTCATTGCGCACGTTATCTAAGACTGCGTTAAATAAGCGCTTCCGTTCGAGAAATCTAGACTGCGACAAGTGTTACGTGTTTTTCGCGCAGTCGCGTCGCGCTGTTTCTCCTCGCCTCGGTTTCGGCCTTAATTGTGAGAAATCGAGTGACAAAGCGAATCGCGTCACGCAAATGATTGCCAGGATTTTCAAGGAAGATTTGAAATTTCTATTCGAGATTATCGAGAAAATCTGGAATGTGTTAATAATGATTATGTTGCAGAATTTTATGATAATAATTATATTGATTATACATGTATAATTAGAAGTGAAACTTAGGCCGGTTATAAAATATTCGAATGCATTCGAGAATTAGAGAAAATTTCGAAGCGAGTATTTTGGGAAGGCAATTCAGAGTCTAATATTGAAAGGCAAATAGAAAATAGAGCATGCTGATCGGTGACGCGAGAACGACGAAAGTAAATTTCCGATTGGTGATTCGAGAGGTGTTGCGACGTGGTCTATTTGTAAGGAAATCTACGCCCATTCAAATTATCCTAATTGCTCGAATATCCGCAGAGCTCGAGGCGAATATGCATGTTGTATGAATTTTATTTTGAAGAAAATTATTATTTCGGCATTTTTCAATTTCTCTCTCTCTCTCTCTCAATCGGCAATTTTAGATTAGAATAAAAAAAGATTATCGACGTGTCGCTGTCCCAATTGCAATCTCATGCAGTATATCATTATTGCTATCAACTTATATCTCAACACCATATCAAGTGTCAGTTGACAGTCTTCGGAATAAGAGATAAATAAATAATAAAAAAATATTTGTCAGCTTCTCCCAAGCGTTTCGAAAGATATATAGCGCGATAAAGGACACGTAAGCCATTATCTAAAGCCATTTATACAGCGATATAACCGTATAAGAGCTGACATTTCAATGGCGACGACCTAGTTTAGATTCTGTTCGTCGGGATATCTCGCTTATGTTAGCTCTAATCACCTTTTCGTTCCGATGCAAATCGCGTGATTCCTCGCAAGTACGCGCGACGCTCGAGCAGTTGGCAGCCGACACTCGCCAATTATCCTGCGGCATTTCCTCCTCCTGCTGCACGCCGATCTTCCGCTCCTTGTCGGCGACGTCGGCTGCCGCGGTGCCGCGGCTCTCCAAGATCAATCTCAGCCGATTTTTCTCCGTCTTGGCGATCTTCTGGTTCTGCGAGGCGGACGCGAACTGACCGGTGCGCGGAAGCGGGATCATCGTCGCGGTCGGTCCTCGGTTGCGAGAATCCGGCTCGCCGCCGCCACCCCTCGAGGAGGATTCCCTGCGTCCACCCGGAGCGCTTCCTCCGCCGCCTCTCGCCAGCTGGTTTTCGCCCGGCATCTCTCGCCGCGTCGCCAATTCAGTCTCATGGAACATACACTCGCTCGGGGATCGTCCGCCACCACCGGTCACGGCGCGAGACGCATGAAACGCGCATTGAAGATTCTTCGCACTCGGCGACTCGGACACCTCGGCGAACACTCCAGCGGGTGGCGCTTCTCCCTCCGGAAAGATCCTCTCTCGCTATCGATCGTATCGGAACGAGAGCAGACGATTGTTCGTCACGTAAGAGAATCACCAACGATGCACGGCGAAGGACGCACCGATTATCACGATTGTTTGATCGACGCGATTAGCGATCGACTCGCGGATTTGCGACGCCCGGCGTCGTCGGAGACGCGTAGCTTCCTCTTCGGCGCAATACGACAGACCGCTTCTTCTAGCAGCAGCGGCTTAGAGGCGACGGCTCCATCGCGCTCCATCGGACGACGAGTGCACCCGGACGCATGCGTCGAACCAAAGATTTTCAAAATGTCCCTCTGGCATTTCAGCCGCCGCCGCCGCCACCGCCGCCGCCGCCGCCGTCGTCGCCGACGTCGCGACCCACGAGTATCCTTGATACGATGTGCTCTTCTCCCTCCTTCCGACCTCGAGTGTATCGCGCGTTTCTGCAAGTGCAATTAGCTGCGCGTCTAAACACGGATTATGTTTCATCCTCTCGTCGCAGGTGCATCGCTCTGAGCTCTCTTCACCTCTTGAGACGCGGTAATCAATAGCTCGAGGATCACGTGGTCCGCGGATGCTGTCGCATTCGCGGGAATGTGGAATGTTTCTCTAATTTTTCACAACATCGCTGTTCCTTCACGCTTCGACAGAAGAATAATCGTATGCGTAGTGTAATTCTCTAATTTTCTAATAATAATTACACTGATCACATTTAACTTTCTTCTTAATATCGCATTCAAAATCCTGGAAAAAATAATTTATTCGAAGAGAGTCAGGCTCGTTCAATATCCAATTTTAACGTTATCAGCGCGCGTTCACTTGGAAAACACGCGGGAGAGACGAAGAGATCTAATCTGATTTCCTCCTGCGATCGAGTCGCGCGCGTCTCCGCGATTTCAACGGATATCGCAATATTTCGTTCCCGCCGCTCCGTTTAAGGCAAAGCGAGAGGACAGATGAAACGCGAAACACATCTCGATTGTCCCCTCCTCCCCCTCCCCCCTCTTTGAATTCACCCTCCGTGATATGCGTGTCAATGCCTCGCACGGTTGCGAGTTCCATTTATAGTTGTATGCAGCTGCTCCGGTCCGCGCGGCCCACACGATAGTTTCGCAAACACGCCGCGGCTGCAGCAAGACGCACGTGCGTGCCGCGCACGAATGAGTGTGTCGCGTCATGCTCTTTTCATACGCTTGCACTTTCCTTTCAAAGGCTGGTTATCGCGTTTTTCGCCGACACGCCGATAAGTATCCGATCGATGGGACAATCGCCGGCGCGACTCCGCGTACGGTTTTCCTTTTTCCCGGCGACGGAATGCTCCGCGGCAACCGGAAACGCGCTCAATCGGACCTCTGTCTCGATCGCCACGGGGATGTGAATGGCATTCCTTATTGATTCATCGCCTCTCCCGCAGAGGAAACGCTGACAGGAAGATGGGAACGCGGCGGGAAAGAAATGTATGCCCATAAATTTCGCTTCTATTTCCGAGATAAAATCGCAATTTAGACTGAGATAACTAATCGTTAAGCCAAGTGAATAATTAGAATCTTGGTTTTCGGTTCTCAATATGAAGAAAGAGATCGATATGTTGAATTTGAAAATCTCTTCTAGTACGATTGCGACACGAAAATTAAAATGTTACCATTTTAGCGATGAAACGTGCGATTGAAAAGAGAAATGTAAGAGATTTTTGAGGTCATCTTTTAGTAATGACTTGCCAAGAAGTGAATAACATTACGAACGCCAGTGAACGAAACTACACGGTCGAGGAACACGCGCGAAATCGACGATTGAAGATACGTGCGAGTACGTGAGTATTGCATCGCGCATAGCGGCCGAGCGCAATTAAAGGGAAATCGGCGGAAGACTGCGTTGGCAGCGGCAAAAAGAACGCACAAAGAAAATTGCGCGTCTACGACGATTTGCTGTCGACCGGGAGAAATTTTCTAATAATTATACTTGACGCATACTACACACATACACACACACACATGCACGCACACACACAATCACTCGCGCGCGAGCGCACAATCGGCTGCGTATCGCGCGTCACTCCGCGCTGCGGACGTCGAAATGAAGTATCGGGAATCGCTCGCGGCGCTCGCGGTTCGTCCCGAACGTGAATGAAACCGATTCGACGTTCCGTCATTCACGTGCAGGACGTGCCGGAAATGCGTAAAAAAAAGTGCTTCGGCAGCCAGGCCGTTAACGAGGCTGCGCAGCGGCGGAGGCTTACGAATGACGGAACGGCCGCTGCGGCGAGCACTGCGAGAGAGAAACCGCGTAGTGTTAGAGTGGCTGAAATAAACTGACGTAGGTTAGGGGATCGAGGAACAGCTGGGCTCGGCCTGGGCTGCTGCACGCCATCACTGACTCACTCCGATCTATTCCCCCACCCCCTTCTTCATGCCGGTTCGCCCTCTCGCTCGTGCTTCCGTCTCACGGAGGTCGGGCTCCGTCGCTCTTCAGTGATCTTTGCTCTC